CCCTTAGTGCTTAGCTTGCTTTGGTTTAAGAGTAAACTACTCTCTAAACCTTGATTAGGGTGATAAGTTGTTAATGGACTTGATTAGGGGCTGATTAGAGGCTGGTTATGGTGATTATAAGTGGATTAGTTTATAGGTTATCTTGTGTGGTTTGATAGCTTTTCATGTGCTAAATAGATAGCTTATCATAGTTTGGTGATAGCTTATCATGTGTTGTGTGATAGCTTATCATGTTTAGGGTGATTGCTTATCATAGTTTGGCGATAGCTTATCATGTGTTTTAGTAATAACTTATCAAGTTCTCATTAATAGCTTATCTTGAATTGGTGGATAACTTATAATGTTGGGTGATCACTTATCAAGTTAAAGGATGACTTATGTTGTATCATGTTTTGATTAAATGATGACATTGAACTTGCTGGGATTAGTAAGTGAATGGACAAAGTGATTAGTGTCATTTGTGAGCACATTTTCATGGTAGCCTTTGCATCGGGAATTTCACGTCTTCGCTAAATTTCTAAAGATAAGAATTGAGACTTGAGTGAATGTTGTGTGTGCATGATTGCCTAAAGTTCCATTTGTGCCCGGTTTTATCGGGAGACCGCCAACCCTAGGGGTTGTGCCATGGCCGTGAAGGTCATGCCCAATCTTGGTGATTGGATGCCGTTGCGGGGGCAGGGTGAGACGAAGTCATTCGCGAATGGAATTTGGGACGAACCCATTTATGGGATTCTGTCATTGAGGTTGGTGAGACGATGCAGTCGCCGATGGAGTGGGACCATGCTTGGCAATGCCGGAAGACCGCCATCCGTGGGATGTGCCGTGACCCAAAGGGTTGTTATTAATCTGGAATATCACAAGTGCGAATTGCATCGATGAGTACGATGTGCCTGAGATGGATGATTGAGCATGTCTTGATTATTAAGTTGTTGATATGTATGTTTATGCCATGGTATAAATATTGTATGTGATTCTTGAACACATGCGTTATTGTGATCTTGTTATGTGCTCGTTGGAGCGATTGCATGTTTAGGGTGTTCTAGTGGCAACGTATTCTCCTAAGCAAGGTTTAGGGAGTTTACTTGCTGAGTTTATATCATTGTTGTTGTTTAACTGTTTTCAGACCTCCGACTATGAACCGACCTCCCACTCGTTTTGGAGTGCCCATGGACATGGGCACAGTTATATTTGAGTATCCAATTGGACCGGATAGGATGTACCAGAAGCATGCAACCACCGTATGGGTGGATGAGGGTTTGGCAATGTTGAAGCCTCATGAGTTTATAGCTTGGTTCCTTAGGGATGGTGATGGGCTGTTCGGGCCTATTACAGGTTTTGATGGACCACCTAATGGTGGAGTCGAGGAAAAGGTGTGGGATCCCATGGACATCGACTCGCCGGCTAGGGAAGTTACAGATCCGGAGTCCGATATGGATGAAGAGGAATCTGACTCAGAGCCTCCTCCTCCCGGTTATGGCCAGATGTGGTGATGGGTGTAAGGACCGGGGATCTACACTGTGTAATATTGTCCGCTTTGGGCCCACTGACTCTCACGGCTTTAAAACGCGTTACACAGAATAGAGAACCCAAGCCTTATAAACTAGCCCAGGACTCCCCTAAGCGATGTGGGACAAGAGACATGCCCCCATTGCCATCCTAGAAGCCGCCAGAGCCGCTCCTTGTCCAGGCCCTCCGCCCCGGCGACCACTCCCTGCCCTCGTCGGACCGGGTCGTTACATTCTCCCCTCCTTCGAGCACAGCGTCCTCGCTGTGGCCCCACACGCGGTCGGGAGTCGGCTCTGATACCATTTGTAAGGACCCGGGATCTACACTGTGTAATATTGTCCGCTTTGGGCCCATTGACCCTCACGGCTTTAAAACGCGTTACACAGAATAGAGAACTCAAGCCTTATAAACTAGCCCAGGACTCCCCCCCTAAGCGATGTGGGACAAGAGACATGCCCCCCATTGCCATCCTAGAAGCCTGCCAGGAGCCGCTCCTTGTCCAGGCCCTCTGGCCCCGGCGACCACTCCCCGCCCTCGTCGGACCGGGTCGTTACAATGGGTTTTGGAATACCCCACATTTTTTACTACCTTTTGGATAGAAAAGCTAGATTAACCGACTACCCAAATCCCTTTTTGTATGTGCGTGGTTTGTTAGGAAGTGGTCCTGTAATAGGCTTGTATTTATGTATCTTCCTAAGGTTAACATTATGTTTACAATATGGCTTCGTTTGATTTGTATCTCAAAGTGTTTTCCTTGCTATCCTATTTTGTTGTTTGTTGTTGGGGTTTTAAGTACGCTTCCGCATGCGTTTATTTGATCGATGTTATTCATTTGGGTCGGCTACGCATCCTGGGACATTACCATTACACGACCATTGGTGGGATGTTAGCGCGCTCGAGGGTCGAGGCGTGACAGCCGTGGCCAGTTACCGGCCGAAGAAGAAGAAAAAAGAAAAAAGAAAAAAAGAAAAGAAAAAGAAAATTAATTAAAAATTATGTTGACACCTAAATTTTGACTACTCATTTAGTAATAATTGCATAGAAAAATTAGAAGCTAAGCTTTAGCCCCTAACAAAAATAATATAATTAAATTGCATATAATATAATTTTAAGAGCATTAATTAAATAGTTGCCTTTGCATCAGACCAATGGTGGATGGAATTAAAATGAATGGTTCTGAGTTTAATTGGTTGGACCGAGCCCATAAAAAACATTAATCTTTGGTCCATTTTATACTTGAGATGTTCACTTGAGATGTTCTATATTGGAAAAAATTGATGAAACTTGGAGAGTAATATTATGCAGATATTGATAAAACTTGACGGCCGTACCAAAGGGCTGCACCTTGACTGTGAACCACCCGTCATTGAGAACCCACCGAGAGCCTACGCTGTTGTCGGAGCACCACCACCATCGACCGCCGGTCCCATCCGCGGTCTGCTATCGAGTCCTTCCAATTTTGGAAACAAGTATTTGAATAAGGTAATAATCTTATCTTAATCAATAGTCATATATTTTATTGCCTTGTTTGAATTATTTTGATGTTGATTGAGTTCCCAAACATATTATCCTGTCCGAAATCTCAAGTAGCGTTTAAATTAGGGATTTTTCCCGAATTTCACAACGTGCCATAATCGTCAATCCGATCTCTCGCCCGAGATCATATCCTCATGCCAATTTGCGATTGCGCCGAAAATTGGCCAATGTAATCCTCATGTCCATGATACGATCCGTCAATCTATTATTTTTAAATTTAAACGGATATAAATAATATTTCTTGTGTGATTTGGTGTCGTGTTGATATGATTGCTATTTCTTTCCATCTTTGTTTGAGTTTAATTGATTGTGTTTTCATAAAAAAAAATACAAAAAATTAGATACAATTTGAGTATATTTTACCAAGATAATATATTGCATGTTTATGATAAATCTTAATTATTTTCCTATAATAGATTACGATATTTTAGAATAGGGTAGGAGATCTTGAAGACAAGAATAATTTCCCAATTTAAATTAGAATTTGACTTGGTTTATTTCCTAGTTTAGATTAGGCAATATCCTAGTATAGATAGTTTAATTTCACTATTTCTTAATTACGAATATAATAAAAATGTCAACAAATGTCAATTTAGAATAGATTAGATTTTTTTCTTAGATATAATCACGTGCTTAAATTAAGTTAGTTATTTATTCCAAAATTTAATAAAAAAACCAAAAATAAACATCATGTCATTTAGTGATTATGTGTTAGGTTTATAAAATGCATGTCATATTAGAATAGTTCTGTAATGACTTTTGCTCGTCATTAAAATTAGGTCATGTAGTTAAATTTTTGCCTGTCATATTAGAATAGTCCATGTAATCGTCATTAGAAAATAACACTTAGGTAAATTAAATGTTGCATGTCATGTTAGGCTAGAGCATGCATTGCATATAGTTTAGTTTTAACTAAATAAGAAAAAGCTAAAAAAAATATTTAAGTGAAATTGCGTGTTAATTAGAAATCATATTTAGGGTGATAATGTGATTTTCTAGCAGATGTTTTCGTTGCTTCAAGAGAAGTGTATCCTCCCTATCTTGCAATTTATGTATTGCTTTGATTATTGAGTGTTACATCAATGGTTGCGTACTAGCATTATCACTCATATGTTAGGGGAAGTTAAAATCAATCAAAGTTACCTGACAAATATTTTTTTGAAAATACAAGAGAAAATGTGCCAAAAGGGCATGAAAGTGATTCAGCGTAATCAAATCCCAGAATCCATAATATATGGTTCATAGAAGTAAAGTAAATATCCCGATACTTTACTTGGGTTTCTAATTGACCCATCAAAAATAAATTTGCGGTGACTCCAAAATGAAAATGATTTGCATGCTAGGAACTTGAATCATAAGTCGCAAATTGGTACGGACTTGGGAGAACTCGAGTTAAGTCTAAGCTTAATAATCCATTAGCCCACCTATAGGTGGTGGTGAACCGTTTGGAAAGGTCGTTACAAATTAAAATTTTTAAAAAATAAAACAATAAAAAAGAAATAGAAAAAATGAAAATGAAAAAGAAAAAGAAAATAATTAAAATGAATGGTAAAAGAAAGAGGAGGGAAAATGTTTTCCGTCAATGGAAAATATTTTCCTTCACTTGTTTATTTTCTGTAAACCGAATGCCGGAAAATCCAAAAAACATTTTCCTGGAAATTATTTTTAGTGAAACAAATGGAGTCTATCAGAAAATGTCATTGCAAGATGGAGCAAGGCAACAGCCATTGCCAAATAATTTCGTAGAAAGAACCCACATCTTCGATCACAACCTGATCATCACCACAAATGTCGATGCTTTGGCAATGTAAATTGGCTGTTTACATAAATACCTCCCACCAAGATCCTAAAAAGTAATCCTCACACGACTCCGAACTTAATACAGATCTGAGATACAGATCAAATTGAATGCTCACATAAAAGTTCTTGAGCAAACATATAAAAATGCTTCTCTTTCATCATTCATTCTTGTTAGGGGACTGATCCTTATCTTTCCTTTGTCCACCGAGAATCCGTGAAATCTGCAAGCCTCTGTTAAATGCTTGCTTGAAGAGAATACGGGTCTGGAATTCTGAGACAAAAGGAAAGCAAGCCAAGAATGCAACTGGAGTGAACAGAAATAAACCCATAATGATCTCGTAACCACGGGCAAGAGTCCGAACTAATCCCCAAATTCCAGCCTTTTCGACGAGAGGTTTGCAAGCTTGTGCAATCTGGAACCAGATAAGCACATATAGTCATTAATCACTATAGTCCATTAAGTCGTTTGGTGGAAGGAAACAAGGGGATAAAAACGATAATTACAAATAATAAAAGACGCTTATCCATGTAACGAAATGCAAATGCAATACCCACAAGCGGTTTCAAGATTAAAAAGTGAGACCAACCAGCATAATCACCATATCCATGTAATAGTGACAAGTATTCACGCTTTTACCTCAATAATAACCAAATTAAAAGAAGAAAAAAAATTGTCAGGTGTATATATAGTCCAGAAGAATAAGGGCAAGAGAGTAGCGTCACCAACCAAAAGCATTCCCCAACCCGTCGGCATGAAAGCAAGAATGCAAACCATTATGTCTTGCATTGTCATGTGCCAGAGTGCAATCAACGTAACCAAAATGGCGACAAAAGCCAAGAATATTAATCCATTGATTAGCCGGAAGACAAGCACGAACTTTGCACTGAATTTTCGTCGACCAACAGAAACAGTCTGCAAAGTACAAATAAGAACTTTATCAAGCTGCCCTTTGTTCACTCAGCATCTAGTGTCCTAAAAGGAAAAAAATATTTCTTCAAACAATCCATAAGACTGGCATCTTTAATGGTTCTAGAATATAACGGAATCAGTAGAATCGTGTAAGAAATGAACAACATCTGGGAGGACAATTGAATTTGGTCAACCAACAAAAATTAGATGCTGAGTTCAGAAAAGAAGCATGAAATTGTCCTCGATGGCGTTTATGTTAGTTGATAGACAAGATATGGAGCTGGCCAATAGATTTTGACACTTCCGGTCACTAACTGAAACAAGATAAGTATGGCCCATGATGATAATTATAATCATATTTAAAAATATAAATCAGATATGGTGGACTTCAGGATAGAAGGAAGGTATTTGATGGTCTCTTTGATGATCACAAACAGCTCAAAGCTTTTGAATTCACTACAGCAAGCTCATAAAAGTAAAAATACAGAATCGTATATAACTAGTTCTACTAACGCATTGATAATAAATTTTGGAACGGGATAGAACATGTATCTTCACCTTCATAAAAAATATAAGGAAGATGACTAGCCATGATATGCCGTAGACCTGCAATTATGCCAAAGAGAAAGATGATGCCGCCACTATATTATGGATCTTTCTTATTCTTATTTATTTCCTTTTTTTATAGAGGAATAAATAGGAACATAGGAATTATATTGTGATATACGAAGAAATAGTAAGCCAAAAAAAATTAGAAACAGGAGGAAATAGGAAAATTGGAATTATATACCAGGACACTTTTGATATGCTTCGTGATGCTTAAGTGATACACAATCCCATACTGATATATGAAAAATCGAAGTGCCAACACAATCTCAGCTATGATACCACTCATTCCAGAATGACGCAGATGCTCCTGTTCCTCTTCCCACCATGATTCCCAACTTTTTTCTGGACGTACACCACCCTGGTTGTTTATCCATTTATTCCAATCTGTCCAGTCATCATCAATCTTCTGCCACTCGAAACCAGAAGGATTAAACAGGAAAGGGGCAAAAAGCCAAGTCCCAACCATGAACCACATGGATATTGTGATCATGATATTAGCAATAGCACCCCTATTAGATTGACCAAAGATTTGGTACACGAGCAGCAAAATCATTATTTCAAATCCTTTAATGAAGTGACTGCGGGAGTACATTCTATAATTGTCTGCAAACTTGGCATGGTGCACAACAAAACCGCGACCAGTAGCCCTGTATTTTGCACCTCCGTGAAGCAAAGTTCTTCCATAATAGTGTGTCTTTGTTCCAAGAGAGAATGTGAAAAAAACGGGTGCAAATTGCAATTGCATCAGCAGAAAATCACTAACTGCAGTTCCAAATCCCCTTTCCAAGCCTATTTCTATCAACATAGGCAGTGCCATCAAAAATCCAATTTGTACAAATGATTGAGAGGTAAGAGCCACCTGGAGAGGCTTATTGTCCTTAATTCCTGGTTGAGTACTCAATTCCTTTTCAAGCCCGCTAAGAACTAAATAAAGACGGCCATAAAGGAAGACATATACAGTAAGCACAGTAATCTGCCACAAAAATAATAAGACAAAGTTCAGAATTGGAGCATAAGAATAAAAATACAATAATAGGAAGAAAACACTGACTTACCAGAGTACTAATGTAAAAGCCGACGGTGGTGAAATAACATGACAGCATTCTGAAGAAATCAAAATGATGTCCAAGTCGGTATATATCTCTACTCAAAGTTTGCTCCCCATTTCCACTGGCTATTTTAGCCTCGAACATGGATATCTGGTTTAGACCCACATCCCTCCCTTTTCCAACTTGTATATACTCATGATGAGTTACATTGCCCTCACGAAGTGTAGAGTTGAAGCCTGCAAGAGCAAAAATTCAAATAGAATAAAATACATGTAAAGGTTAGCCAATTAGTTATAGTACGCAAATCCGAAAACCCACATACCAGCAAATATGTCTTCACTCAAATTGATAACTTTTGAAGCCTTACTGACACCACCTCTAGTAAGGTGAAACAGCCGATCGAAGACATCAGGATGACCATAGTGGAAACGGACCCTTCATGAAAAGCAACAAACGAAGCATACAAGATTCACCAGTTATTCATGATTGTACCATCAGATACATAGAGCAATCATCAGGTTACTAAAATTGATGCACTTACAAAGTCATGTGACAAAGTCTAGATGGGTTATTAATCAAGCGAGATATATTCAGGCGCCATTTGAGCTTTTCATGGGGCAAAACATCCAACAAGAGATTGCTAACATCATTTTACAAATTAATCTTCATTCCTCAGCATCCTTATTCAGATACTTATAAAATAAATCCGTATGGTATTAATGCACTGCAGTTCTCATCTTTGCCATCCGCCATGAACATCCCTAACAGAACTAAGAACCGGCAATAAAGCGTAGAAATCCCCAACCTTCCAACCCCCCTGGCGACTTCTTTTTTTGGCCTTGGCCTTGGCCTTTAACACTCTATAGGAATCATCACATATAAGGGTTCATCTCTTCTACTACAAAAGTAAGGACAGACTCCAAATTCATCAGGCACACTGTACATTTAAATCTTCGAAAAGTTACAGAAAGAAATAACTTACTTCAAGGGGTTGGCCAACAGTCTCTGGCTTATAGTCACAAAACTAGTCTCCTGATTTGACATGAACCAAGCAAGAGATGAAACACTGCAGCCACATGTAAACAACATTCAGCTTTGCATGATAGTATATATTTTAAACAACAGCCAAATAAGACATTGCAATTTCATCAAAGCTCACCTTCCAGTGAAAATGTGCTCCCGAAGTCCAAGAATTGTTGGATACCTCACACCATCATGCTTTTTGAGAAATTCTTGCAGCAAATTCCTCATTTTCAGTGCTTCTTCCATGTAGTTATCCTAAGAAAAAAGGAGGATATGAAGTGAACACAAGGAATGGGGAATAGCTTTCTTAGTTTTTTTTTTTTTGATAAATAAAATGCATGATACCTGGTTCATATCGATTGTTTGCAAGCCTTCTCCACGAGTAAATATAATGGCATGATTCTGATTTTCAGGTTTTCCTTCCCCCAAAATAGCAGGTCCTGGAAGCTTTATCCTATATATAACCTGCCCCACACGCTAGTGTCAAGTATTTTTTATTTTTTAGCCAACAATTGAAGCAGCATAAAAATCTAGTGCAGCACGAAATGGCAACTTATGGTCAGTCATCCAGAAGCAACACCAAACTATTGCTATTTCTAGAAGCAAGCGTAGGACATCTACAATAGGAAGAATCTAACTACACTAAAGCACTATCCCTATAGCAGGCTTGCAATCCTTTTAATGTAGCCCAGCTCAAAATTACCAGAGGAGTCCAACCCACAGACATGGGTATTAATCCCCGGGTTAGAATCCTCCTCCTTACCATTTTATCGCTAGCCGACTACATTTCATTTTCTTTTCATTTTTTTGCCGTCTCTATTTCATTTTCTTTCCTTTGTTCATTTTAGAAACGTTCAGATGCAAGAATTATACTTCTTTTTTGGTCGAATGCAAGAATTATACTTTATTTGTATAGTATATGTACTTTTTATTTGTTTCCGTCATTTATTAAATTCGAATTTTTTTTTCATTGTCCTCCCGGTTTGTCCATAAGGCTCTCTGCTTGGATACAACAAGCACTTTCATCTCTCTATTAGGACAAAATAGAAGATCAATTCAAGTTGCGACACTATCGATATGAAAATCATCTCTCAAAACTTTACTTAGTGAGTCTAATATATCAATAGCTTAGTTTACCTTGGTCCTTTTTATTGCATTAAATGTGAAGTGTCAGCTATTTGAACTTCTGTGAGACACTAATCAATCTCTAACAGGCGTAGGAAATGCTACTTGGAAAGCATTACAGATTATAAGTATCTAAAAATAGCATGGAACAAAATTGAAGGAAGAGTAATCTCAAGATTGTGTCTGCATTTTGTGTTATTCTCGCTCGAGTCAAGAGCAAGCTTCACCTGATCCAAGTTCTGAACTGGCTCTGAAGAGTCAATTGCAGCCTTCACTAGAGTTGAATAGTAAGCCTTCTGGTTGATCTTTTCAGGCCTGTCCTTGCTAGGTTCTTCGACCTCATCAATATAGGCCACACGGACTGATGGATACCTGCAAAATGAGCACAAATCGGAATTGTTAAAGTACAGCAACCAATAGGTCAAATCTGAAAGATTTAAGCGAGAATGCACACATACGCGGTCATAAGTCTTAAAATATCCTTTGCACGTTGATGCCCACATCGTTTGTCAATACCATATTGCTGAACCGAGACCACGTACGTGAACTTCATGTCGGCTACTGCTTGACATTGGGCCCACCTTGACGGATCACCACTTGAGAGCTCCTTTGCGTCTAGCTCTACAGCGTTATAACCAACTCACTTTCTTATGTTAAAATAAATTTGCAAACATACAGAATAAGTGTTAAAATATGTCTCGAGCTTTGAATCCGTAAATGAAACCTGATCCGTGATGTATTGTTATTTGTGATCGTCTTAATGCGTGTCATAAAAATCCGGATTTCCTTTTCCGGTATTAGAGTCCAAGTTGGAGAAGGATCTCATTTTTTTTTTTGTTCTGATCAATTTGGCCAAGCAAAACAGATAAGGAAATACACCGAAATCATTTTTCCTACTGTGCGTCGGAGACGTTTGGTTGAAATTGGAAAGTCCAATTGGACCATGATTCGGTCAACCTGGGTTTCTTATATATTGTCCACGGAAGTTGGATTTTTCAGTGAAGCGCTGCTTTCAGTGAGTGCCGTGGGTGGGCAATACTTATGAGCGAGATCCAATTGGTGCTGGGTGCTGGGTGCTTGGCAGTGTGTTCACCAAGAATTCATATGTTGAAGTCAATTAAATCGTGTAATAAGATTTGTGAATTCTTCTCTGAGATCGAGAGATGATTTCACGAGAATTTGTGAGTGTTAAACACCGGGTGTAATTGGAGACTGCAAAATTCTTAGAATGTTTGAGTGACTCAAATATGATTTTAATCTTTATTTTATCGCTTCATATATAGTGAAATGTTGTGCTACTCCTCCTATAATACTGGTATACAATATTGTTTTCGTAACAATAAACATTAGCTAGATGAAAACAGACACTGACTCACAGAGATGATTGAAAAGCCAGCAAATTACCGCATACGTCTCAAGCAACTGAAAAACTTCCACATAGCTGATGAAAAGAGCACGCACCTTTATCTGTGGCCATATCAAGAAAAGCCTGAAGCTCCAAAGCTTTCCGGTAATACATCATGCCTCTTACTGTCATCAGTAGCATTTCTTAATCATTTGAATGACAAGAAATACATGCGAAGAGGATATGACAAATGCACAGGTAAATCTTTCCTCTTCTTTTTTCTTTTCTTGTTTTGGTTTGGTCGCCGGGTGGTGAAGTCTCCATTTATAACCGAATCGTTATGGCCTTGTGTTCACAGAATTGTCTTAAACCAAGATGTCCAGAACGACCCTTTTTATAATCATAGAACTATTCCAACAAATTAAGCTCATAAACTTATAGTCAATTGGTCACCAGTTGGAGATTCATCTTTCAGCTGGGTTCAATAGAAGGAAATAAGAGAAGAAAAGAGATACTTATAGACGTCATTCAAGTTGATTGGTAGAAAATACATTAATCAGGTCATGCGACCTTTAAATTTTTAATAGAGGATGCAAAGTATAAATGCTCTGATACCACAAGATGCATACCCGCAAGTTTCTTTATTTTTATCATTTCTTTCCAGTGATGATTAGGTGAGTTTCCAATTTTTTCATTATGTTTATTTATCGTTCTGTGTTTGTGAGAGAGAGAGAGAGAGAGAGAGAGAGAGAGAGAGAGAGAGACCAGTTCTAGTTAAGGTCTGGCCTCTATATGATGCCCAAAGACAAAGTTCTTCTTCCATTTCCTCTTCACTTTTACATTTCACCCGCTCAAGAAAATTGGTCCATTCATCTGTAAAAATTGGTAACGGATCTCAGAAAAGGAAGAAAACACGCCAAAAGAAATATATGTTAATAGCATGAGAACAGAATAAACCTGGAAAGATTTTCTTCAAGTAAGAGAGGATTGAAACACCATCTTCGTTTGGCGTCTCCAAGTCACGCACCGAGAAGAGAACCTCCTCCGTGTAGTAAGGAGTCAAAACGCTGACATTGATCATTACATCAGAAACGATAAGAAAGGAGATTCGATTGATAACACATAAAAGACATGCACTTTAAGGGCTACATGACAGATGACTTTAAAATTCAAGCATACTCGTGTCTGATTGGTATTTGATCTTTGTATGAGTCTTGCATTAATGAATAGCTTGTTGTCTCCTATTAATATGACAAAATCCATAATATTACAACGGCATAAAGTTCCCATATCGCCAATATTAACAACTAAGAACGTATTCAATTCATAAAAGAGGAAAAGGGTTAAGTCTCCATTTTATCTACATTTACATGGCAAAATAAACTTACATGGCAACACATTCAATTTCCTGGATTGCATGAAGCCTTTTTGATTGCAGAAAAGAGTTAAAAAGATAGCATCACATACAATTGATAACTTGTAATGCACCTGCTATCTACTTCTGTCAGCAGACTTAAACTAGTTATATACAAATGTTTAATCCCAAATTCAATCTGCAGTAAAGACCCAACTGATGTTCGACAATTGAAAAGAAAACTACTTGAGATGCCAACTACAGCCCCATTTGGTCCAGCATGACCACAAAAAGGAAATGTAGTCGTTTTCATCATTCACTAAGCTAAAATCAGTTAAGGAACCGTAGGCTCCAAGAGATGGTTTTTGTTGTAAAATTGGTGATCCATTCTTAAAGAAGTCTCTAGTCCGAATTAGAGAAGCCTGGAACTACGTGGAAAGCAAGCAGCAAGATGAAGAGAGGCTCCAGATTTCTCCTCTTTACACAAGCAACAAAAACCTTGGACAGAGTCAAAGAACCTATGGATAACTTGTAGCACGTAGGCTTGTGTCTTTGACCACATTTACCAGCTAAGTCTAGAACCGGATGAGTTGGCAAAATTCCAGCCAGTAGCCTTGTAGGAGAGTCGGTTGTAATTGTCTATAAAAAGGCTTGTGATCATTCTTGAGAAGTGTGGGGAGTTAGAGAATAAACTCGATATCCTTCTACTCCTTCACCCACGCCAACATCTCCTCCTAGAACTATGAAACATCACATTTCTATCAGCTAAATAAACTATATCCTTGTCCCATAAACCTTGCCTATATTCCTCAAAGTATCCTACTCTTGTCCATTCCTCTACATCAACTAGACCATACACACATACACTTGCACAAATCAAAATACAAACTATTATCGATATCAAAACCATGCTTCCGTACATTCTAAATTTTCAACATGGTATCAAAGCTTCAAATTCTACAGTTTTCAACATTATAAATGGAAGAAGAATCTGGAAATTGTGGCTCAAGCTTAGATTGGGGCATTTGGCATTGGAATGGAGAAATAGGTTCAACAGGCTTTAATTGGTGTTCGAAAATAGGGATGGCAAATGGAGAGAGAGGCGGAGAAGGGGTTGCATCTTCCATCCTCGGCCCACAACTACTGGAGGTGCCTCATCCCCGCTTCATGCCCCTCGCGGGGCAAGTTTATGTACCCCATCCCCAACTTCGCCGGTGCGTGGATTTCTCCATATAACTCATGGGTTTTAAACCTGTTTATCCAATAAAAATTTCTGACAAAATAAAAGCAAATAATAAAGATCAAACAAAAGAGGTTATTATTGGAAGCCTTCACTCAAACAATTCATCTAACGAAACTAGGACAAGGAATATGTAAAATGAAAAATTGCGGAGTGGGCCGGGATCGTGGGGTGGGGTAGAACCACTTCAAATCCAAAGTTTTTTTTTTTACTGGAAACTCAAAAAAAAATTGTAACTTACGAGAAGGAAAGCATATTGCGAACTTTAGGGGCGGCTGGCATTTCCATAAACAATGAATTGGAGAAGAAGGAAATGCGCCTTCTGGCCTCCAAGTTGGAAGGTACATCCATGGCGGATTCCTTTGTGGTAAGCAATAAATGAAACCGCTTAATCTGCAAGTTGAACAAGTAATAAGACAGGTTATAGCAAGCTAGAAAATCCACAAATACACACTATTTCGTGAAGAAACAAAAAAAAGGCACCTTCTCCTTCCAAGCATCTGTTGCTGGTTCAATAGGAAACTTAATAGCCCCAGCAGATGCAAACAGTTGGTATTGCTGCTCAAGTGGAGTAATTCTCTCATGCCCAGATCCATCAAGGAATGAGTCAACTAGACTGCATAAAAGATTAAACATATGAGCCACCATGGATTAAGTCACCGGGATGAAACACATTCAAGATTGCACCAAGATGCCAGACCTGGATATACGATTTTCCATCATGTCTCGTGTGACAACTTCTAATATATCTTGGAATAGAATCACAACTTTATCCCTATCCTCTGGTTTATTGGCTAACTGCAAATACATAAAATTTGAAAAAGAATTATTATTAAATTGTCGACCCAAACTAACCAAAAATTTTGACAAATACAAACAGAATATAATCATTACCAGAAATTTGATGAGCTGAACAAAGAGATCATGCAGGGTTGGAAGAGCACTCATCTTGAAGTCACTTATCAGACTGCCATTGGCTACGTGTATGTCAACTACAGAGAGGATCCATTCAATAACCCTGGGACCCGAGATTGGAGACCAAACGAGCACATTAGAACCAGTAGGATTTGGTTGTCTAACTGAGATTTATGGAACAGGTGACAACAAACGGTGCAAAGCAGACTTACCCTTTCTCACGCTCTCCTTGAACCAAACAATTAATGATGTTTTTAAATTGAGCATAGCATTCGTGAATAGCACAAGACATATAGTTGTCAGTCTCAATTCTTTTTCTGAGCTCCTGGTCCTCACCATTGCTGTCTTTAGCCATGTCTAGTGCTATAAGTATCTGTATAATATGTGAAGCAGATGTTAGGCAAGGGAAATCGAATGCATTATAAGATATCAGTGAATCAACCTTGCCGGCTAGTAAAAATGGAGGCCACTGGGTAATGCCTTCTAGTTCACGATCAGCACAATATGGAACAAGCAGAAGGTTCATCTCCCTGGATAAGCAACACAGAAGCAATTAAATTTCAGTTCCTACTAAAGTAAAAGAGCAGCAAATAACCTGTTACTAGAAGAGATTGCAATGGAGTCCAGCGAAAAACTCATTGAAGATTTTAATAATATGAAAGATATTCTAAGCACCAAAGACCTTTCGCTAATAAGATCTTCTTCTCTGAAGCTGCTAATTATTGTATTCCATAATTGAGCAAATCTTGCTTCGTCTGATGGGATCTGTCAGCAAAGCCAGATAAATAGCATGAATACTGCTGCTGAAGTGTCTCAGCAACTAAAATGAGGTCAATCATTTTGAACGGAAAAAAACCATGCTGAATTGCGGAAACCTCACCCTAGCATAACTTTGTGATAAGGTCGCCTTTGATCCATCTTTCTCCGGCTCAACCTGCTCTTGTGTGATTAAACGGGCATTGAAAGCATCCCGCAAAGATTGGAAACGAGGTCTGAGTATTCCCAATGTCTGTATCTGGGGATTTCAAGAAACAAGGAAGTGAAAGACAGAAGAAAATTATTAAAAGCCAAACTAAGAATTTTCCGCAATGTTACCAACTGCAACTTAAGAAGGAAAAAAATGATAATGCTGATGGAGAGAACTTCTGTTTAAGTCTTAGTCAATTCTATTTGCATGTATGTGTAAAGGGAAACTGGACATATGCACATAAAGGGTCATCAGTTAATCCAGAAACATGAAGATCCAGAAATGTCAAGCGAAGACAAAAAATGAATTGCAGAAGGACAAAACCTACATCAATCCATCGTTTGGGTATATTATCAGAAAGATAACTGTACAATATACAGATTAAGCAGCATATTACCAGATGAAGAAGATATCTCTTAATATACTTTGTAAAAATCGAAAGTGAATTTGCACCAGCTAACAAGCCTGTTGCGAAGCTAGCAAAACGATCTCTACATGCTAGCTTGCCATATAATTTACCAAAATTTAATAAACATAGTAGTTTATAAAAGGGCAAAAGCCACCAAAAACCTCAAACTATGTTCATTGTGACACATTTATCCTAAACTTTTTTCTGTGACACCAAAAATCTCAAACTTGTACGTGTGTGACATATTTACCCTCCGTTAAAGTTTCCTCAATGAGGACTGTTAAAAATTTACCTATAGTGACGCCAGAAAGCAAACATTGCTGACATGGCGCTCACGTGGCATAGGTGAATAAAAAATGATATTATTTTGACTGAAAAATCATCTGATGGAACCTTGATGGAGAGTAAATGTAACAGCCCGAATTTCGATGTAATTCCGGGATCAATAAAACTGATATTAATTCGCATTTCATTTCAGTAAGTCTCGGCTAGAGCTGATCACTCTCGGAATACTAACCAATAGGGTATGGCTAATTAAGAAGCAGTACGTGGACCGGGGACCCTATCGTGAAACGGACACCGATCACGAGAGACGCTGAGGGAATATTTTGGGCCAACGTGGGCCGATCGTAGGAAAGGGTAATGGATTGGGTTTGGCCAAGGCCTACGATGTACAATAGGGACGCAGGTGATACTGCAAGACCGAAAGTACATGTGGCCAACCAGTCCTGAACTTGAACCGAACGATCGTGACCTCTGGAACTAGTGATAATTTCTCATTCTCTCAATGATCGAGACCATTACGATACGGATAACCCTAGGTCGATACGCGTAATCTCTAAACAGCCGCCGTTAGTGAGAGACCCTGAAATTGAAAGTTTAGCGAGTTTTGTTCACGGAATTGGGGCCGGATTTCGATGTCGATTTTCGAAGGCTTAAGAGACTATTTTTGGGAATCTGACGTCATATCACGCTGGCCACACACGTTTGGAGTTAGTACGAGTAAAAATTGGAATTTCAGTCCGGGAATGAAAAATTACGATTTTGCCCATCGGGACGCCAGCGTTGCTTTTCAAGGCCAAATGAGGTTATTTTTCGAGGCCGACACCATTTTTGGGTGGCCACGCATACCAGGAGTCGTTATGGCCAAAAATTGGAATTTCGACAAAAATTGGAAAAATAATATTATTTTATTCTCAAAACTTTGGCTTGGATTTTCGAGGGCTTGCGCGATGAATTTCGCGATTCCGACACCGTATTATGTTGGCCACGCACATGGAGGGTTGGTACGGACGAAAAATGGAACTTCGCCCCGGGACTGGAAAAATGACGGTTTTGCCCCTGGGCTATTTTTGGTTCCGAATTTTGGGAGATACTTAAGGAAATTAATTAAAATTGGACTTATCTTAATTATTGCAGCAAAAGAACAAAATGCCCTTGAATTATTGGATAAGATTCAATATTAGCCCTTGGATGAGGGGTAAAATGGTCATTTTTGCTAGATATTGACACTTGGCACCCCTAGCCCCTAGTATTTGACCAAGATAAGACTCTCTCTCTCCTCTCACCCTCATCTGGCCAGAACAGCTCTCTCTCTCACGTTGATCACTCCCTCTTACATTTTTCTCTCATTTTCTCTCTTGGTTTGGCCTTGCCGGAGCAAGCCGCCGGTCACCGGAGCACCGCCGCCGGCCGCCGCGCCCCGTCGTCGACCACCACAGCCCCCAGCCTTAGCCTTGCCTCTGTCCGACCCCTTTCTCTCTCCTTTTCTCTCTCTTTCTCTCCCTTTTTCTCTCTCGGGTTAGCACCGCCGCCGCGCCGAAGCCTCACCGCCGCCGCGCCGGAGCCCGATCGGCTGAGCTGCTGCCACTGTGACGTTGCCGACGTCCCCGTATGTCACACGTTCATCTCCGTCCGTACAGTGTCCGTACGGCGTCCATACGGGGGGGGGGGTACTGTTCACCGCCGTCCGTACAGTCACTGTTCACGCCGTCCGTACGCCTTCGTCGGGAATTCCGCCGCCGGTTTCACTGTTCACCAGTGATCGGCTGCCGTTCCCCGTCGTCGTTACCTTGGATTAAGTGAGTAAAATTCCTAAACCCGGATTAGGACTGATAGTGCATTTTTCTGGACTAGATTAGGAATGCTGGTACTGGCAGAGAAAAATTAGTGTACCGATTGATAGAAATTATTATCGGGAAAAATGTAGTGGACCAATGAGAATTTAATTGGGGAGATTAATAGGGTGGAATGGTCAATTTAGGAACTGGTCGGTGAAATTGCCGAGTATGTCCGGGTTGACTGGTTGTACGTAATTTGTGCTTAATTGTGATTGACTTCGTACTACCATGTCGCATGTCGTGTGGCTGAATTATGTGGAGTGCGATTGGCCAATGATTGGTTTGAAATTAATTGTTGATTTGTGATTCGCACGTTAGGCCACACGGTATTAATTGGGCCAATTGAGCACATGTTGTGATATTGAGTGATTGAATTTCATTGATGCTCATGGTGCATTGCATCGCATAACATGGACACGCATTATATATGCCTAGAGTGAGGCATGTGGTGGAGTTGTGCGAGAATGCGTGCCTGTCATGAGTGTGTGATCACCTAAAATACCCCGAAGCGTCATACGCTGGGTTCAGATAATAATGAGTTGTGTGATCACCTAAGGACCTTCGGGTCGTGACCTTCCGGTCGATACCGTCCGCATGCACTTTGAAGCAGGACGATGCCCGGTACGTCCGGAAGACGACCATCCTCATGCACTTTGAAGCAGGCTCTGGTTCGTAAGGAGATCAGTGTTGCGCCTCATGCACTTTGAAGCAGGCTAGAGACACTGGACCAGATCGGTTGCTACGCCTCATGCACTTTGAAGCAAGCTAGATGCACCGGGTCGTGAATATTGTTGACTCGAGTCGTAATAAATAATAAATTGGGCGATTGCCAGTGTGTCAGTGTGGGCCAGTAGGCCGGGAAATGCATATGAAATGTCAACGACATTTGCATGCAGGAACATGCATGGACTGGCATGCGAGTGTGTGAGACTCGGTGCATGAGCATGTGATTGGCGTACGTGTGACAATGTGTGCCACGTATGTGCCGTGATGATTATATATTGAATTGTCTAACCTGCAGGATCAGAGAATCATTGATTGTTGTTGTGTTTATGGTTTTTAAATATTTGTTTCCGGTCAGGAGATTGAATGCTAGCCTAGCCTAGGTTTAGGGGTTGAACTCACTGAGATTCGTCTCACAGTTGTGTAAACCGAAACTTTTCAGACTTTCAGCCGTAAGGATGGAGAGACCACCGCCTCTTTTTGGGATTCCTGTACAGATTCGGCAGTATACTAGTACCTACCCCTCAGGAAATGGGGAGGTTTTCGTGAGGTATCGATCAGAACTAATTGTGAATATAGGCGAGTATTTTTACCAGAAGCAGGAGTACGTGACGTGGTGCCACCGGAATGCCAATGGAAATGAGGGAGAGCCCCTCAGGACCTTTGATATCCCGGTCGATAGTGTTGGGTTATTGCACCCAATTATAGCTGATGGTGAGGTGATAAACCCTGAGGTCACGCCCGAGTGGATGAGGCAGGAGGAAGAGATGGATGAGGAGCCCGATGTACTAGTGGAGGACCCCGAGCCTATGGATGAGGAGGAGGATGACGAACCCGAGGCCATGGAGCAGGACGTAGAGGAGGACGGAGAGGTTGCAGAGCTGAGATCAGATGAGGAGGGGTTCGAGATTTACCTGGACCCGGAATTGGAGCTGGACTCCGAGGACGAGCGAGCTCAGGCCATGGATTCGGAGGAATCGGAGGCTAGCGAGGATGCCTCCGAGGAGCTGTCAGATGATTCTACTGAGTTGTCTGATCCTGGCTTGGAGCCATAGAGTCGTCCCGTGTCCTTAGCTAGTAGTGAGGGCCGCCACTTTTTGGACTGTAGCTCTCTTCCCAAGTTTTAACCTACCTCCCTAGCCGCTTACCACTTTTTGACCAAGTGGCTACTGATCGTGTGTACCTTTTTGTTTGTACTTGCAAATATTGTACAAATGGTTTTTTTTATAGCAATATAAATGTGTAATTATTTTTCTACGATGGTGTTTGATGTGTGGCTGTCCTTGGCTCATATTGTAGTTGTCTGGGTTTATTTATTTAATACTTCCGCGTGTGCTTGATCTCTGTTTTGGGCGTGGGTCGGCGACGCTTCCTGGGACGTCGCAGTCAAATGACCGAAGGTGGGATGCTCGCGCTTCGTGGGGTACGGGGCGTGACAGTAAATGTATCACATAGGTACAAGTTTAGTGTTTTTATGTCACAAGAAAAAGTTTAGGATAAATGTGTCATATTGAGCATAGTTTGGGGTTTTTTATGTAAAAAAAAACGTTAAGGATAAATGTGTCACAGTAGGCATAATTTAGAGTTTTTTGTGGCTTTTTCCCTTTATAAAATAGTGGTTCACAAAACAAACCTAGATTAATGTCTAACTTCTAGCTACAAGCTACAAAGTCTGCCAACAAATATTGTAGTAATTATTTTTAACAAAGCAACGGAATTCAAGAAAACTTTGCACTGATTCCTGCTGGTAACATCTAAATTGTTGCGGTTACAATAGATAAAATTGTTCTTTCTGTTGTCCTCAGTCATACTAGGGATGGTGCATTGTCATCGAAAATGCACGTATCCAGCCATTGAAAAGTAGAGGTCACTGTTAGCGGTTCTTGTGAAAACAGTAATTAAAAGGTTAAAAAACCATGTTTAAACTTCTCATAATGGCTTTAGCGCAATTCCACAAAAAAGAAAAGAAAATAAGATAATACAAGCACGAGCAAACCCATAAGAACCACTATATGACAATTTCCACTTACCTCTCCGAGCCGACTACATGCACCACATATTCCTCCAACAACAGAGGAGAATATGGCATACCATATTTGAGTGTCCATAAAGTAGACCTAAAGAGAAAAGAACTGTATCAAAAAGCGGTAGACACATAAGCTGAACCAGAGTTACGACAGTATACCCAAAGGAAAGCAGTATAGTCTGTACCAGGATAACAGGAGCCCAGATAGCAATCACGACACCAATATTATTTTTTGCTGCAAAGTTAAAAAGTAAATGTATATACAAATTCTCGAGAGTTGATAAGAAGGATTTACACAACATGATGATATTCAGCTTCATTACCTCGTGGAAAGAATTCGTGCCACTGGAGATTAGTTACCTGAACACTCATTATAGCTTTTGTAGGACCCACCAAAGGCTTTATCTACAACTCATTTAAAAAGGGGAAAACGTGCTTATCAGGAATCCAAACAAATGGCAGCCAATAAAATTAATCGTGAATATCTTCTTCAGTACTCAGGCACCAAGACTGTCAGGAGTTTGCATTACAGCATCTGCAAGCTCCATATAACACTGTTGGAAATTGGTGATCCATTTTTTAAAAAGCCTCTAGTCCAACCTAGAAAAGCCTAGAATTACATGGATAGCAAGTCCAATTCAAAGTTGAAGACTCTCGTGAAGACTGGGCAAAGGAAAAGTGTGGAGTTCACTAGAGCACGTGTAAAAAAATCTTGTATAATAGTTAAAGTGTACATGGGTTAAAAGAAGACACGTAGGACATGTCTTTACCGCTTGTACAGGGAAATGTCGGTCGAGTGACTCTATAAATAGAGCTTCTACTCATTCTTGTGCGGGTGTGGGGGAGTAGATTAAGATAGTTTCTATATCATGAAATTATTCTCCATCACCAACACTTCTTGTACTATCCATTTCCATCAACTAGATAAACCATATCTCATGGCTGTACCCTTGAACTATCTTATCTTGTTCCATTGTCCATCCTCTACCAAATATATCCTATGCACATACACTTGGACACATTCAAACCACAAACTATCATCGATACCGAAGTCATGCTTCAACGCAATCTCTAAAAATCAACATGGTATCAGAGCTCCAAATTATCCAATTGATATCAGAGCTCCAAATTCTACAAATGCCATCAACTAGCTTCCAAGAATTTATCACAGGGTTTCAATTGCAGGACAACATTTCTGATTACTTTTTTGCCCTAGATATTGCTTGCTAAGTACCACAGAAAGAAATTAAAGACGGACAAAATATTTAACATACCTCTACGTTATAACTGAATGCCAACTTCGCAATTAGTAGAAGGACCCAAAACAATGTGTACCTGACACAAAGGTGCTATACATTAAAAGTCAGACAGTGGGCAAAAAAAAGTAGGTGTCAAGTGCACGTCTTTTAAGAAAGAAGTCTTACGTTCACTTTTAAGAAAGAAGTCTTACTTGAAGAGAGTGAACGTGCTTTCATGCATTCCCCTCCCTACATAGAGCTGAGGCTGCATTTCATGACTTAACCATTAGAGCCAGACATTCAAAAAATAATAAATAGGACTATACTCAATCCGTCATGTGCACAAGCAACTAAATTCTTGTTTCAGCATTTACTCGCTAAATGAAACAAGAAGGATGATCTTATGCATACCTGTGACCACCACATCATTTGCTTCACAATCTTATAGTGCGACTGCCCCAGGAATTGGTGGATTGAAGGTGTCACGCCCCGCACCCTACGAGCGCGCGATCATCCCGCGATGGTCGATCATTGAACGCGACGTTCCAGGACGCGTCGCCGACCCAACCCAAACATCAGAGATTAGGCACGCGCGGAAGCAAATAGAAACAACCCGGACAATTAATAATGACAAGGGGGTAATAATAGCACAAAACAATAACTGTAATTCCTACACTTGGCAAATACATACAATGCTCATCAAAAGGGACAATGGTTCGCGAACTTAACTCCTCTACAAAAGGGGAGACTCAAAATACGGGACACTCGACCCGTCCTTGATCTCCGAGACACCCTTGCAGCGTCTCCCATCACTTACGGTCGCGGATCTGAAATGGTTATATAATAACCGTGAGAACGAGTCTCAATAAGCAGCCCCCTATACCCCACGTAGGCCAATGCGTACCCAGACAAGTCTAACATACGATCACCAGACAACATAATCAATTTCATACAACCAGCTTACCTCGTCTCGAATCACGAGCCAACCCCTGCATATCAGTCCAAACAAGATAATGCAAGAATAGTTCATCATCATATCACGGTCACTCGGCACACGCAATTTCACTCGCATTCAACCAGCCCAGCCAAGCAACCACACGTTCAACTGGTCAATTAAATCACACGCTCAACCAGCCAAATCAGTCACACGCTCAACCAGCCAATTCAGTCACACGCTCAACCAGCCAAATCAGTCACACGCTCAACCAGCCAATTCAGTCACACGCTCAACCAGCCAATTCAATCACACTCAAATCACATGCGTGTCCGAACATCTTTCTCACTACCCGCGCCACTGCGCCTCAAATTCATTCTCACAGGCACACGAGCCTCACAATTCGATCAATTCCAATGGCCGCCGTCAACACGTCCCAAGCCATATCATTCAATCAATTCCAGTGGCCGCCGTCAACACGTCCCAAGCCACACTATTCAATCAATTCCCATGACCGACGTAAACACGTCCCGGTCTAATCACACCTTTAACGGGCCACCGTCAACACGTCTCAAGCCCGCATCCATTTGGCACATCGACCATTCATGCCTTCACACGGACCGCCGTCAACACGTCCCAAGTCCGTCTTTCCATTTGGCACACCGGCCAGTCAAGCCTTCACACGGACCGCCGTCAACACGTCCCAAGTCCGTAGCCCTCCGATCGATCCGGGCTTAAAATCGACAGGCAAGCACCCGCCAATCAATTAAATCAATTTCACGCCAATTGCATCAACAGCCCATAATCACAACTCAGTCCAATTCACAATTCGCCACCTCAATCCACAAACCCGACGTTCAAGTCGGCCACACGCAATTATCCAATCGAGCATATTATTTAATCAAATTCAAGTAGCAAAATTATAAAATAATATAATTAGATGAAACACGCCCTAGCCGTTCTAAACCCGAGACAAGTCGATGAAATACCCACGTACAAATCAGACTCACATCACGATCCATCACACTTGCCCACAAATCCATCATTTATGCCTACCACATACGAACATCAAGTCCACCCATGAATGCCACTACAATATTATCAATTAGCCCACCATAATTAGTCATTAATTAAGCCCCACACTTCTCACAATTTAAACTATCAATTAAGCACGTACAAAAATTGCCCACAATCCACGTTAAGCCCCTAAACCGGTACTAATTACCTCATGGACAAGTCTAATAATACCCAAAGTACTAGGTAGGGTTTAGGAAGTCACTTACCTAAGTTTGGCTCTGTAAAAGTCGGCTCGGGCCTAAAATGGCCCGAGTGAACAGTGTCTCACTCGGCGCGGGCAAGGGCGCGACGGGCGCGGGGCTCGGCCACGGTGCTCGGCCACGGGCACAGCCCTCGGCCACGGGCACAAGGCCCGGCCACGGGCTCGGCCACGGGCACACGCATGGGCACGAGCGCGGGCACGGGCGCGGGAACGGGCACGGGCGCAGGCAACGGGCACAGGCACGGGCACGGCGACGGGCGCGCGGCTTGGTCGCGTGGGCGACGAGCCGGCTACGGCTGGGCTGGCTGGCCGGGAGTGGCTGGCTGGCCGGCGGGGGCGGCGGCGGCAGCGACGGCGGCGGCCGCGACCGGCGACGAGCTGGACAGCAAGAAGGGAGGAGGGGAAGAAGGCGGCTGAGGTGGGGAGGGGCGAAGGTGAGAGAGACAGAGAGAGAGAGAGAAAGAAGCTGGGGTGGCGGGGCTCGGCCGGGGCGGGCGGCTGCACGCGTCGCTGGGCAAGGGCGGGCGGCGAGCTCTTGGCGGCCCGGCGAGCCGAGCTCGCGGCGGTGGGACGAACGGCAAGCTCGGGCTGCGAGTTGGGGCGGAGGACGAGAGAAAGAAAGAGAGCAGATCGGTTGGGGCGGTGGCCGGCGGACGGTGAGCGGCGGGACGGACGGCGAGCTCGGTCGGCGATCGCGCGGCGTCCGGCGGGCTCGAGCGAGAAACGAACCAGAACCGGACGCCCGAAGAAGAAGAAGAAGAAGAAGAAGAGAGAAAAGGAGAAGAGAGGAGAGAGGGGTGTCAGGGGAGTTTGTCAGCATGCAGGGGGAGAAGGGACGTGTATGGGGAACGTGCACGGCAGAGGGGGGGAAAAGAGAGAGAGAGAGAGAGAGAGAGAGAGAGAGAGAGAGAAACGTGCGCGGGGAGGGGACGGGCGGCGCGGCAGAGGAGAGAGGAGAGAGAAAGAGAGAGAAAAAGTTAATATTTATCCTCGAGCGCGAATCAATGGACACGGTTCAAACTAAATATCGATTTAACGGTCATAATTCAAATATTAAATGCGATCCGAGGACCCAAATTCAAAACCGAAAGCGATTTACCGGTCCAAAATAAGCCTCGCATATAAAAAGGGACAAAGGCCGAATTAATTAAATCAAACTATAGCGAGGGGGTCTACTAGTCCAAATTCGCACCCGGTCAAAAACTCCCATTTTTCCATTATTCCTGACAATCTCAACGCTGGCTACGATAATATTGACACGGTCCAATTTATTTCGTCCTGAAACTCCCGAAAATCAACTGCCAAGTTCGAGGTCTAAATAACGGCCAAATTCGATCGAATGCGATTCTAGCGAAATCTCAAGATTTAAAAATAATAACCGGGAGTGATCAGTTCCCGGGCGAGATTTTTACTATAAGCGCACTGACGAAATACCCGTTTTATAAATCCCAAAAATGGGTCAAAATTCGGAATGTCACAAAAGGGAAGAGAAACAACAATGCAGCAAGCATATTTGGAAAGAGGTATATCGCAACGGCTAAGATAAACAAGGAAGGTGACCTTGAACCATTGCCAAACCAGTTTTTGATGGTTAGAGTGGATCCAGGAGGATTCTTCCAAGGATGAGCATATGTTAATGTGAGAATAATAACCCAAGCAGCAGCTGCAACGACCTTCAGTTTATATCTTAGCTTTAGATCATCAGACATGCTCCGTCGTGCTTTCCAGGTGAGAATTACATCAAGAACAGCTGCACCAAAAAAGCAAAAAGGTTATTCTTCCATGTTAATATCCTGTAAGAGTTTTGAGTATAACTAAACTCCATCCTATAAGCACTTAGTTACAGTTATAGCAGACTTAGGCTAGGGGAGCCTGCCTTAACCAAAAAGATTAAAAAAAAAAAAGCAGCAGTTGTCTACTTTAGCAGATGGACTTGTTAAAGACTCTAAGAAAGAGAAAAAAGATACAAGCTACACCTAAATCCAGTAATGTCTCAATAAGAAAATTGAAAGTGGCACAGCAGAAGCAAACTCTTCCCTCTTCATTGCCAGTTCACATTTATTTTCCTCAATTGCACAGGATATTTCTGTACGTTAATTGGACTTATGTAGGCTACAATTTATTGCAACTTGTCTTAATTCTCTAAAAAGCAGGTGTACTTTATAAATAAGCAGACATTTGATGTTCACATGAGCAGCAAAGCATTGGTTCCCAAAACACTGGTAATTGCTTCAATATTCGGTATCAATTTGAGTGTATATGCACTCTAGGTCATGAAATGATCTAAACTCAATTATTTGAAATCATAAAAGAGATTACATGCACTTAATACACTGAACAAAGTCCTCCTAAGCACATGGTTTCATATGTTTTTCTATTTGGTAATGCTCGTCAAATGCAAAACATTGACTAAAGACCATCGCTAGTCTTGCTATAGAATAGCAGGCACGGTGAATAAGATACAGACGATTATGCCCAAAGAAAGTTCGAGGAACCTAGGAAAGGAAAAGACAAAGGAATTGACACCAACAAAGTTAATCTCTAATACCTTGTACTAGCTTCAATATCGCAGCAGTTATAAAGATAGACGACACTTTCTTAAAAACATCAGGAGTAAAGGGAGCAGTTAGATCCCCGGAGCAATTTTGAGCAACAATTATCATTGCCTAAGAAAAGGTCAGAGTCAAAGTCAGTTAAATTTTGTATAGACAAAATCTGAGTGTACCAAGCACCAAGAAAGCGTAAGCATGAACCTGTAAGCATAGAATAAAGAAGCTCCACATCTGATCATAGCTTCTGAAAATGTGCCAGAAAGACCGTATCTCAACAAAATTCACTTTCCCAACCCATCGAACTCGATAAGCCAGTTTTGAATCCTACACGTACGGACACAAGAAAATCAAGATTAGTGCATGTACGCCCACCTGATTTTTTTTTTTTTTTTTTTATGACCCAAGGAACCCCCGCACGGCCGACAGCCGGGAGGTAAACTCTGGGGGCGACACGTGCTAGCCACCACACACGTGCACCGGTTAAGTCACCCTGCGGCACCCGGGATTCGAACACTCAACCTTTTGCGAAAGGAAGAGTGCGCGCTCCAGCAGCGCCACCCAGGCTAGTGGTTTTTCTTTTATCATACAATTCAAACCTGATTTTCATAGCTTCATCAAACAAAAAAAAACTAGCAATCCTCACTCCCTCCTGAATCAAGCGAGTTTTCACCAATACAGAGAGAGAGAGAGAGAGAGAGAGAGAGAGAGAGAGAGAGAGAGGGAGCAAGGGGAAAAGATTAAGCATGCAATTCGGCTAGTGCAGAAAAGAGGGAAAGCGGCAGGCTTCTCCAAGGATGGATCACTCTGTTAAATGGGGGACTGCAGGGGGTGGGTATATAAAAGTGCAGAACGGAGGGATGGGATAACTTCAAAAGAAAACTTCCCATTAGTGTGGACAACGACTGCAAACCTTGCCGTAGACTGATAGATGTTGTGGAGATACTGCCTTAAAAGTAAGGTTTGTTCAATTGTTCATCGTAGAAACTTCAAGCAAGCTAAGTGCTGATAGCAGAAAGGCCAGCAATGGAAAAATGGTTCAACAGATTGGCTTTATACCTCAGGCTCAAGACAGGGAGGTAGAAGCTTTTTATGTAATTTCTTTGAATTGTACACGATGACGCTGGGCATGGGATAGAATGACCACCATTAACATATTGTTCTAGCTCCTGCTTGGCTCTCACCTCAGCAGAAGTTATGCAACAGAACATGCTTTTCCCGTGGAAGTCGATTTGGAAACCAGTGGTCATTCGAAGGCTTTATTTTTCTCCTAGGACACTGCCTGGGGAGTGGGGACGTAATCTAATGTTCAATAACCTTCAAATGATAGGAAAACTTTTGGCTAATCAGATGCTTTCTCACGTAAGAACAATGGAGTGAGTGTGAACCACCAATTGTTGCATCATAGTTGGACCGAACAGATTGAACTATAGATTTTGCGACTTTAGGATAAAGTGGGGTACTTCAAAATCAGTTCAAAATGAACTTTGGGCTCGGGAGGCTTTGAATTCATGCATAAGAAAGATGGTTGTCCAGCCACAAACGCTCTTTGAGAAACTTTTGTTAAAATTTGTCGAGATGATTTCTCTCCTTGTCTCTCAATTCATTTGGAAAGAAAGAAAGAAACAAGAGGGCACCTCGATGAGATTAATCCTTACGGGATTCTTTTAGAGATTAGCTTTACTTTTTCGCTGTCGCGACCTAAAATTTCTCTCAGGCTAATGGATTGTTAGGACTAACCCTAACTCGGGCCCTCCCAAGCCCTACCAATTCGCAACTTAGGATTTAAGTTTTTAACATGCGAAAGTTTTCATGCTTGGAGTCGCCACTAATCTATTTGTGGTAGGTCGATTAGAAACCTAAATAAAACATAGGGAGATATGTTTTATTCCTACGAACCAGAGATTCTAAGCTCGGGGACTTGATTACGCTAGATCTAGTCTAACGCCCTTTCGGTACCTTTTCTTTTCAAAAACATTTGTGCAGGCAGTCTGGATCCATTTTAACTTAGTCACTAGCATGTGAGGTGATCATGCGGGTGCGCAAACCACCAAAGTAACACCCAATAATCAAAATATTAAATAAATTGCAAGATTGGGAGAATTACTTATCTCGAAGCAACGTAATCATCTGCATTGTTAGCTAGAAAATCACATCAACAATTCTAATATGATTTCTAATTAACAAGCAGTTCACTCAATATTTTTTAGGATTTTCACTTATTTAAATGAAAACTAACCTATATGTAATGACGTGCAAAAATTAACATGCGATTAATGCAGCCTAACATGCAAACTATATGTCATGCGACGACGTGACCTAATTCTAATGACGGACAAATGATTTATTTTTGGTATTTTCAAATGAAATTCGGAATTAAAAATTATTCAAATTAACATGCAATCTATCCTAGAGAAAATGATTTGATCTATCCTAAAGTGATTCTTTTTTTTTTTTTTGGGGATTTTTATTAAAATTCGAAATTATTAAATATCCTAAATAATCCACTAAGATTAAAATAATTTCTAATTTAAACTAGGAAATATGCCACCCTAAATCCCAATTTAAATCAAATAATTATCTTATTCTTTTGGATATATTTAAGATTCCCTAAGCATGCAAAATTTCTAATTTAAATCTAACTAACAAATTTTTTGGTTTTCTTTATTTAAAAGAAAAACAATCAAACAAAGATACCAATCACATTCAAACAATCCACGCAATCCGCAAGATTCTTCAAATTCAGATAAGGCAAAGAAATCAAACTAACGGTCATATCTATAGGGTTATAGATATCGACGAAAGTTGATTGTTTAAATTTGGAAAGCAAATTAAATATATTATCGTATCCAAGTGATTATGGACAAGATAACGATTTTCCGTATCGCCGCGTATCGTACCTTAGGGATAAGGTCGGATAGTCGTCCAGATACGTTGCCAAATTAGGAATGATTCCTAATTTTTAGGTGTTTTCGAATATTGCGGATATCGCAAATATTATCCTAAGATATATAGCTATCCATCAAAATATTCACGAAATATTCGAATACCCGAAAACTAGGAAATTAAATAAATATTCGGATAATCTTACCTAATTGGCGGATAATTCCAAATTTGAACTCGTGGCGGATCGGGATCGCGGCGAGTGGACCGGCAACGGATAACCGATGACGGGCGACGAGCGATCGACGGCGGATGCGGCGACAATGGACTGGCTCGCGACCACGGAGTCGGCCGCGAGAGTGACGCAACAGCAGGGGCGTGACTCGACAGTGGGCTCTCGGTCAACTCGGGAGCAGCAAATGCATCGTCGTCCTTCAGCTTTTGACCGAATCTGGCTGGTCTTGTAATGGTCTTCTTCTGATTATCAAACTTTGACTATTTAAGCCCACACAATTAAGCTTTCCACTTGACTGTCTTCAATGCTTCGGTGTGTATCAAACAAAAGCCGATCTAGTCATGCGGGGACGTCGGACCAATTGCTTGGATGTTGTGGTCTCGCATTGGCAAGAGAAGGAGAACGGTGGCGTCGTGAGCGTTGAACTTGGAGCGTGGCGGCGCTCGATGGCTTCGTCGTCGGAGGGCTGGTTCAGCGTCGTTGTGTAAGGACTTCTCACTGGTGCAGGCTTGAACGGGGCACGAGCAGCAGAGGTGCGGATTCGGTAGAGATCGGAGCGAGGAGGGTCACGACTCACGGCCACGGTCGGCCGTGAGAGAAGCAAAGGCGAGGCGGCGGCTCGGCAATCGGCGGTGGGACAGCAACGTCACGGAACAGCAGCGGCAGGAGTCCGCGCGTGTCAGGGAGAAGCGGCAACCAGCCCGGCGTTGGAATGGGCGACACGGGCACGACAGTGTCGACTTCGGGGCAGCAGTGACTCACGGCCACAGGTCTGGCCGTGAGCGTGCGCGACGTTGATGGAGGCCCGGCAGTGAGGCCACACGGATGCGGCGGTAGGACAAGTCCACCCGTGATCCTCTCTCTCCCCCCGTTCCTCTCTCTCGCTCTCGTGTTTTCTCTCTGTGTTTCTTGTGTCTGATCCGATCCAAAAGAAAAGCCCCCCCTTCACGCATTGCACTATCATCTTATTTATATGCCAAGAAATGGAGCCCACCAAGGAAAGAAAATATACAATATTTTCTCTTTTCAACCACATATTGCACAATCTAGCTTTGCAATTTCTTTCCTCCTCTCCCCTCTCGCACACATCTTCTTTTATATTTGTTTTGTCTTCTTCACTCCCCAAATCAGAATATTGTCCGTATTTCAGCCAATATTCCACGCCTAAACCGACAAGATTACGCCCTTCAAGACTCGGAAAAGAATCTCTCTCTTTTTTATCGATTCTTGATCAAGAATTATGCACCAAATATATGGCAAACATATAATATACACACAATCAAGAATATAACCTTTTGCACGATTTATATGTTGCTCTTGATCGCATGTCCCTAGATCGTGAACTTACGAAAATTCTTTCTAAGTGTAGGACCCCTCGCGCAAAAATAAATGGGCTAGGCCAAAATCTTTAATCCACGCGAGTTTAGTCCAATTTCCATTGAGTTCACAACCTCTGCACTTGAGTCCATCCGCCGCCAGTCCAATGCAAATGCAACTATGTGAGCCTAAATACAAATTCAAATGCTTCTAATCTATATGCTAATTTTTTGTCTAGGGACTGGGATCGATCCCTAATTTTTATGCAACGAACGACTGACTGGATTGTCAAAATTTAGGTGTCAACAGCTGCCCCTCTTTGAAGGGGAGCTCGAAGAGGTTTCATTCAAAGATAAAATGATACCTGAAATTTGACTATGCAAATGCAATGAGAAAAATTAATTTTTTTGTCGAGTAAATGGGATCTCAATGAGCCCACACCCATTTTCTAATATGATATGAAAATGCAAATGCAAAAATAGAAAACATACCTGCATTTACTTACCTGAAGATTTGGAAAAGCAAAATTGGGGTATGGATCAGCTTTCAAAACCCGCCAAGTATCTGGAATTCCCAATAGTATTTGAAAGCTCGAAAATCCCCTTCGGATTTTCAGAGAAGAGCTTGAGATGAGATGGGCTCGAAAATTCCCTTCGGATTTTCAATGAAATGTATCGAATAATTCCCTTCGGACTTTCAAGAAAAATTCCTGAAACTTCAATCAGATACTTGAATGCGCTCGATGATTCCCTTCGGATCTTCGAGAAGATATCTGAAACTGCAATCAGATATGATTAATAGGATCGAAAACTCCCTTCGGATTTTTGGAAATGATATCTGAAACTTCAATCAGATACTTGAAAGGGCTCGATGATTCCCTTCGGATCTTCGAGAAGATATCTGAAACTGCAATCAGATATGATTAATAGGATCGAAAACTCCCTTTGGATTTTCGGAAATAATACCTGAAACTTCAATCAGGTATTTGAATGGGTTCGATGATTCCCTTCGGATCTTCGAAAAGATATCTGAAACTGCAATCAGATATGATTAATAGAATCGAAAATTCCCTTCGGATTTTCGAAAATGATACCTGAAACTTCAATCAGATATTTGAATGTTGAAAAATATTTAAACAAATTCGAAGCTTCAGATAGCAACTCAAGCGTCAGGAACTCTTCAGTCTTCGAGGAAACATTACCTGTCGGACATTACTAGAGCAAAAACACATATGCATTCATAAAAGAGATTAGCAATCACGGCTACTCTAGAACACACATTTCAAAATTCATTAATTCAATTGAGGTTTATGCATGATGGTTTTACCATATTTGCATAACCAAATTTCCACTATGGAGAATTATCATTAAGACAATTTTCACTTATAACGTGGATTTCTTAAGAATGCTAAATGAGAGACTTTCAGTTAAAAAGGGCTTTCATTCACTCTCATTCAGAAGGGCTATTTTATGAGAATCACTCCGTCTCACCATCATCATGTCGACAAGGATCCGAGTATTCTCGCAAGCGGTACGACCTTACCAATCTAAGAGGTCTTTATCAGGACCGTAGTGTCGGTTTGGTCAATGGCTTAACAAAGGGGACTCTTCGAGTCGAGGGTATTGAAAGAAAATACTCCACAATCATCTCCGGGTTTACAAGTCAAGAACCCTGCAAAATGAGATAGAAATAGACTTGCTCGCACTTCTTCGGGCTAAGCTTATAAACATCTGAAATTCTACTTAATTCAAGTGCCCTAATCAGAAGAGACTTTGCAAGGGACGTAACGTAGGCTAGGTTCACGGGTTGAGAAACGAAAGGATATATCAGGCTCGAAAATGTGTATAAGGGTGAGAGTTGGTGATCATCTAGGCATAATCACCGATCTTCTTCATTGCCAGGGATTGTCTTCTTGGTAGATGCTCTATTGGCCGCAAGAGTTCGTCACTTGATTCCTTAAGACTGTGGATATCTTTGTGACTTTGACACATCATATTTCGACATTTTCTACTCCAAAGTTCTCTCTTTTTTCTTCATTTTTTTTTTCTTTCTCTTCTTCTTCTTTTTTCTTTTCATGGGCATTGGCCTTGCTTTTACCAGGAACACTGCTTTTTCATGCCCCTAGTTTTTTTCACTTTTGACTTTTGACACACACCGTCTACAATGCATACATTGGCCAACCATACTTTGGCTTATTTTGACCGAATGACTAACATTTGGACTCTCGGGGTCTTCGTCTTCTATTGGCACTCCGGATATGCTGCATGGACAGTGATGACTTTTACCTTGCTCCAGTGTGGGGGATGATCACCAACTGGGTTTTTATGAAATGAAATTGCAGGCTCAAGTGGGCTAAGCAATGGATAAAGTGTGTAGGATAGAGAAAGAACTGCTCTTCATCATTCTAAGGCACTTGAATTAATGTTTGAGTTCATTTGCAATAGCAACACTTGAAGATTGATGCAAGTGTGAGTAAGAAAATTTCTATCTATTTTTCTCACCTTACGATGTCGACTTACCTCCAGTTTACCCCGATGTGGGGTGGTTCTTGACAGGGGTAATTTGAAAAAACTTCTCCAAGTGTTTGGGCTCAAAGTGGCGAAACAATGGATAACCTGTATTATTTAGGATAGAGAAGTGAACTGCCCCTCGTCATTTTGATAGCCGTACCTTTCGCGAGATAACCCTTTACCTTGTAGATATGGAATTTTTCCACTCATCTCACAAGTGTATGAATAGGGGATGGTGTATAGGATATGGCTTGCCTTTCATCATCCCAACATATCTCATTTAGCATACTCAAGTAGTTCCACATCATTCATTGAATTGTCCATCTTGACAAATTTCAACATGAAATTGATGGGTCAAATAGGTAAACTTACCAAGCAAAATTTCTTTTCCTTGAAAGATGTGATCATTTCACAAGCTTATCAACTTCAAGCACAAAAAAGTTTGCAACTTCTGAACATATTTATCATACTCAAAAATTTCATCATAAGCATGAAAAATATGGCATTGAGCATTCAAAATAAATGGTCCCTGCAAAAGGTGTGAGAACATCAACACAGAGAGACATTTTTTGGAATGGGAGTCCTTTGATTGCCCCTATTTAGAAGGAATGGACACATGAATGCTCCATCGTTGCTTTTGCCCCTGCACAAGAGAACGTGCATGAATAGGATTCTATGTAACGCAAAATGAGACTTAGTAAATTTCGATTATCCAAGGAATTATCTCAATGGCCGCTACAGGAGTCTGTCATGCCCCCGATTTGTCATCTCCTTTTCTGGCTTTCCAGATATAGCACCACACCAAATCAAGTTATGATTCATTGCCCCCAGATAAGTCTTTGCAAGCTCACTTTCCTTCGAAGGCTTTGTTAGCTCTCAATTGAACCAATGGGTTCATCACCGTTGAACTGGATGTGTCATTTTCTCATCATAACAAGCTAGAGTATTATGCTCTGAGACATGAAGTAAATGAGTCAGACGAACAAACAGGGTTTATTTGATGCATGATTTGGAAAAAGGTTTTTTCTTTTTATTAAAAAAAGCAATGAAATGCTTTTTATTTTCGGAAAGTTTTTTTTTTGGAGGGAGCATGAGAAAGCCCAGCCCTCAGAATTTCTCCTTGGATGATATTTTCTTTTCATGGTTGGATATCATCACCGAGCTAGTTTGGTATACTTCAACATACCCTCAAAATGCAAATAAACTTGTAATTTCATTGAATAGAGTCGAATGAATTACATTATTGGAAGGGAAATGCAAATAATCAAAGCCCTACGAATAAAAACATAAACATGAATTGAAATCCTAGAAAGCAGGAAATCCTAGAAACACTTGAAATCCTAGAAAGCATGAAAGACTCCTTCGCAGAGGAGTACAGAAATTTCTCTACTCAATAACAGCATCCGTGCTTCCGACATGGTTAGGTAGAGGGTTCCGCTCGACATTTGGTTGATCACTGCGGAAAGAGAATGCCTTTGTGTCCAAGAGGTCTTGAATTCTATGTTTCGTACATAACAATCATCGATAGAATGACCGACTTCCCCATATGATACTCACATTTCTTAGAGGAGTCATAACCAGAGAACCGCTCGGGGTTCGGGCGTTTCGGCTCACTTGAAAGCAAATTTTTCTTTTGGAGGACAGGCAAAACTTTGGATAACGGACCAGGCAGAGGCGTGAAGTTCCTTTTAGTACCTTGTTGTCGACTAGTGAATTGGCGTCCACCTTGTTGTTTGCCAGCAGACTGCATTGTCGGAGCAGTGTCACGGCTTTGTTGAGAGTAAGCTACATTCACTTCAGGTGTCGGTTCCTTATCCTTCTTGAGGGTGAACTTCTTAGCAGAGGTAGCCTGCTCAGTGGCCCAACCATCGCGCAGAGCGATCTCAATGCGTTCTCCCACAGGTATCAACTCAGCTAAAGAATTGAAATTAGAACCCAACATTCGATTACGAAACTCGAACGGTAAAGTCTTCATGAACGTATCAAGCATCTCCTTCTCAGTCAACTCGGGGGTAATTTGCACAGCTAGAGCTCTCCACCTAGTAGCATAGGCCTTGAAGGTCTCAGTCTTTTTCTTCTCAGTGCGAATCAAATCCTCACGTGACGGGGCCACGTCAATATTGAATTTGTATTGACGAATGAAAGCATCAGACAAATCCTCCCATGTCTTGAGCGAATGAATCTTTTTCAAAACGAACCATTGTAAGGGGGGTCCGGTTAAGCTATCTTGGAAAGTGTGGATCATGAGTGGCACATTATCAGCATACAGCGCCATCCTCGTTGTGTAGTATTGTAAATGGACCTTAGGACAGGAAAGGCCATCGAACTTATTAAACTCAGGCGCCTTGAACTTCTTAGGGACTTGAACCTTGACAATGTGAGCAAGACCTCGTGAGAATTGATCATCAAAGCCTTGCATTTGACGGAATTTTTCTTCAAGCTTATCAATACGCTCAGCCTCATCACTCTTTGGTGGCTTAGAAGATGCATCGCCCCCATCTATAATGATCGGACGAGCTTTGTCAGTTAAAGTTGCACCATTCTCGGTCGAGGAAGTGCCAATGGCAACAGTTTTTCCCTTGTCTTTTGACTCAACAGGAGGAGAGTCATCGGGCAGTACAATCTCTACACTCGGTTGAGCGGGTGCAGACAGTGTGGAAATGCTTGTCTGTAGAGAAGCAACTTGTTTGGTGATATTCTCGAGCACATTCAGGACTTGGTTCATTTCGGTTTCAAGGACAGCAACACGAGCCTGCTCATTTTGGTCAGTCATTCTTGCTCTTGAGCGAGTACGGATTGGGGAACGTTGACGGTCCGTAATAACCTAATTAAAAATAGAGCATGGTAAGTATACGTCCTCAAAACGATCAGTCCATGACTCAATCTAATTGTCCCTTTTTATTCCCATTTTTCATGACATTTTTCATTACTCCATGTACTTGTGAAAATGATGGCAAATTTCTCAGGAAATAATGACCTATGACACATCCAAGAAAATAAAGACATAGATTGAAAATAATTCTCCAAAAGAGCTTTCTTTTTTCTTCTTTTTTTTTTGTTTAAAAAAAAAGGACTCAATGATTATTACTTTCAAATTAAAAACCGACCTATACCTATCATGGACCGACCCGAAAGATGCAATAACTAAATAAATTGCAAAAAGGAGAGTTCAGAAGACTTACTTTACCCGGTAGGACCATGGCAATCACATAGACACGCGCATGAAATGTGAGGTTCGATTTCTATCTAGACTCTGGCTTACAAAATGGAGACGCGAGGATTACCGGGCTAAACCAGTCATGGTTGTGGTTAGGCCGAGGTTCCCCTGACTCCGGCTTAGTCAAGGAGCCGACCCGGGTTGCAAAGGGTGCAACCGTGGTGGTAACTCAATGACACCGTGAAAAAACTTTCGGGACCAAGGAGGGCGACCCATACCACGCGGGTGTGGTCGGGGTGTCCGCTGTCTCGGTACCATCCTAAACCTGTGCTGCCTAGGTCCGGCAGCGGGTAGTGTGTGCGGTGTAGTGAAATGCAAGGCATGCACAACAGGTTATATCATACAGCGCTTCGTACATAAAATAAACCATACATCCAAACACCTCCCTGCAAAACAAGGGTTAACAATCACGCCTCCCCTTATACCTCCCAGTCTGCAAAAACATTTAACACCTAAAATGTTAGGGACGTACCTGGGATCCTCGCTGCCAAACAAAAATATTTTTTGAAAGGAAAAACTGGCCTAAGTCCACTAAGAGTTTTAACTCAAATCCCCAGCGGTGTCGCCAAGCTGTCGCGACCTAAAATTTCTCTCAGGCTAATGGATTGTTAGGACTAACCCTAACTCGGGCCCTCCCAAGCCCTACCAATTCGCAACTTAGGATTTAAGTTTTTAACATGCGAAAGTTTTCATGCTTGGAGTCGCCACTAATCTATTTGTGGTAGGTCGATTAGAAACCTAAATAAAACATAGGGAGATATGTTTTATTCCTACGAACCAGAGATTCTAAGCTCGGGGACTTGATTACGCTAGATCTAGTCTAACGCCCTTTCGGTACCTTTTCTTTTCAAAAACATTTGTGCAGGCAGTCTGGATCCATTTTAACTTAGTCACTAGCATGTGAGGTGATCATGCGGGTGCGCAAACCACCAAAGTAACACCCAATAATCAAAATATTAAATAAATTGCAAGATTGGGAGAATTACTTATCTCGAAGCAACGTAATCATCTGCATTGTTAGCTAGAAAATCACATCAACAATTCTAATATGATTTCTAATTAACAAGCAGTTCACTCAATATTTTTTAGGATTTTCACTTATTTAAATGAAAACTAACCTATATGTAATGACGTGCAAAAATTAACATGCGATTAATGCAGCCTAACATGCAAACTATATGTCATGCGACGACGTGACCTAATTCTAATGACGGACAAATGATTTATTTTTGGTATTTTCAAATGAAATTCGGAATTAAAAATTATTCAAATTAACATGCAATCTATCCTAGAGAAAATGATTTGATCTATCCTAAAGTGATTCTTTTTTTTTTTTTTGGGGATTTTTATTAAAATTCGAAATTATTAAATATCCTAAATAATCCACTAAGATTAAAATAATTTCTAATTTAAACTAGGAAATATGCCACCCTAAATCCCAATTTAAATCAAATAATTATCTTATTCTTTTGGATATATTTAAGATTCCCTAAGCATGCAAAATTTCTAATTTAAATCTAACTAACAAATTTTTTGGTTTTCTTTATTTAAAAGAAAAACAATCAAACAAAGATACCAATCACATTCAAACAATCCACGCAATCCGCAAGATTCTTCAAATTCAGATAAGGCAAAGAAATCAAACTAACGGTCATATCTATAGGGTTATAGATATCGACAGAAAGTTGATTGTTTAAATTTGGAAAGCAAATTAAATATATTATCGTATCCAAGTGATTATGGACAAGATAACGATTTTCCGTATCGCCGCGTATCGTACCTTAGGGATAAGGTCGGATAGTCGTCCAGATACGTTGCCAAATTAGGAATGATTCCTAATTTTTAGGTGTTTTCGAATATTGCGGATATCGCAAATATTATCCTAAGATATATAGCTATCCATCAAAATATTCACGAAATATTCGAATACCCGAAAACTAGGAAATTAAATAAATATTCGGATAATCTTACCTAATTGGCGGATAATTCCAAATTTGAACTCGTGGCGGATCGGGATCGCGGCGAGTGGACCGGCAACGGATAACCGATGACGGGCGACGAGCGATCGACGGCGGATGCGGCGACAATGGACTGGCTCGCGACCACGGAGTCGGCCGCGAGAGTGACGCAACAGCAGGGGCGTGACTCGACAGTGGGCTCTCGGTCAACTCGGGAGCAGCAAATGCATCGTCGTCCTTCAGCTTTTGACCGAATCTGGCTGGTCTTGTAATGGTCTTCTTCTGATTATCAAACTTTGACTATTTAAGCCCACACAATTAAGCTTTCCACTTGACTGTCTTCAATGCTTCAGTGTGTATCAAACAAAAGCCGATCTAGTCATGCAGGGACGTCAGACCAATTGCTGGATGTTGTGGTCTCGCATTGGCAAGAGAAGGAGAACGGTGACGTCGTGAGCGTTGAACTTGGAGCAGTAAGCGGCGCTCGATGGCTTCGTCGTCAGAGGGCTGGTTCAGCGTCGTTGTGTAAGGACTTCTCACTGGTGCAGGCTTGAACGGGGCACGAGCAGCAGAGGTGCGGATTCAGTAGAGATCGGAGCGAGGAGGGTCACGACTCACGGCCACAGGTCTGGCCGTGAGAGAAGCAGCGACAGGCGGCGGCTCAGCAATCAGCAGTGGGACAGCAACGTCACGGAACAGCAGCGGCAGGAGTCCGCGCGTGTCAGGGAGAAGCGGCAACCAGCCCGGCGTTGGAATGGGCGACACGGGCACGACAGTGTCGACTTCGGGGCAGCAGTGACTCACGGCCACAGGTCTGGCCGTGAGCGTGCGCGACGTTGATGGAGGCCCGGCAGTGAGGCCACACGGATGCGGCGGCAGGACAAGTCCACCCGTGATCCTCTCTCTCCCCCCGTTCCTCTCTCTCGCTCTCGTGTTTTCTCTCTGTGTTTCTTGTGTCTGATCCGATCCAAAAGAAAAGCCCCCCCTTCACGCATTGCACTATCATCTTATTTATATGCCAAGAAATGGAGCCCACCAAGGAAAGAAAATATACAATATTTTCTCTTTTCAACCACATATTGCACAATCTAGCTTTGCAATTTCTTTCCTCCTCTCCCCTCTCGCACACATCTTCTTTTATATTTGTTTTGTCTTCTTCACTCCCCAAATCAGAATATTGTCCGTATTTCAGCCAATATTCCACGCCTAAACCGACAAGATTACGCCCTTCAAGACTCGGAAAAGAATCTCTCTCTTTTTTATCGATTCTTGATCAAGAATTATGCACCAAATATATGGCAAACATATAATATACACACAATCAAGAATATAACCTTTTGCACGATTTATATGTTGCTCTTGATCGCATGTCCCTAGATCGTGAACTTACGAAAATTCTTTCTAAGTGTAGGACCCCTCGCGCAAAAATAAATGGGCTAGGCCAAAATCTTTAATCCACGCGAGTTTAGTCCAATTTCCATTGAGTTCACAACCTCTGCACTTGAGTCCATCCGCCGCCAGTCCAATGCAAATGCAACTATGTGAGCCTAAATACAAATTCAAATGCTTCTAATCTATATGCTAATTTTTTGTCTAGGGACTGGGATCGATCCCTAATTTTTATGCAACGAACGACTGACTGGATTGTCAAAATTTAGGTGTCAACATTCGCCTTAGGTATGGTGGGAAAATTCAATTTCAGACTTATAGCTTGTTGGAGATGATTGAAACAGTCTCTTCATAATTTTTGTAAATGGGTGGCTCCCCTTAGGAAGTTGTTTTGTACACAAGTGGAAACCCTTGGTAGTTTCTTTGATAAAGTTCTGGTCATCCTTCATAACAAGAGCGCTTAATTTTCCTCGTTAGTGTGTACGTTGGAATATACGAATATACATGTGGCAAGTAACGAAACAAGCATGAGATTCTCTCATGAACAAATTTTGATTTTAAGCAACCAACAAAAGAACTGCAAGGAAAGAAGAAACATATGTACCTCAGAAGGAAGGTGAAAAAAATCAGCATCTTCACGCATTGGCCAGCCCAACTGGAAACAGTCAATGGACCTGCCAATGGATAGGAAGTCAATATCGCCCTAAGGTGAAAGGAAAAGCTAGTGAAAAAAGGTGAATTACCAAAAGTATTCATTTAAATCATCATAGTTCCTCCATTGAGAATGCTTTAATTTTCCACGCTTACTCCTTTCCGCTTCCTGGTTAGGAATTAATGTAGCATAGAAAACCCAAAGCACGAAGAGATAAGAAAAAATGTAAATTGCCCACATAATAAATATACATAATGCGAAGTACCTTTGCAATTACTTCATAAATAGGAGTAACCACTTTTCTCAAGAAGGCCTCTTCTCCAACTCCATAAGCGGGCTTCACAATTTCTCCAGTCACGGAACTGACTTGACCAGCTAGCATAGCATCCAGTTCCAAGGCCATCTACAAGAAGCACAAGCAAATATTAAAAAAACCTTCTTAACCAGGAAAGAAGTGCAATTAACAGAATGCAGATGTTCCAATATTCGTACAGTATCGGCTTCTGACAAAATTATCTCACTTGAAAGGAAAGCTCTTTCTTAGAATGACCAAGTACTAACACAATTCAGTATTAACGTGTCAACACTTGAGCATAAATTAACTGGGATTAACTGGGTCATCCCTATATCAAGACAAGTTCGTATTCAGAAGATTGTTTCCAGGATGTCCGCTGAAACACTCGAGGTTTACAGAAGAACGATAAGAAAATTTGCCGAAACTTAAGGAATGCCAATTTCAGGTCAGCCACGGCCCACGACACAACACAGTTCTGTGCTTCCTTCAATGTAGGACAATATTCTGACCAAAAAAAAAATGTAGGACAATATCCTCCACATCTGCTTTGCCGAGGAACTAAATAGTTAAGTGTTGAATATTTCAATAGTTTTGAAAATTTGAAAGCCATTATTTTGTGACGGTTTGACGGCCATCAATTTGATGAATATCAATTGTTTTGTAATGGTTTTGACAGCCATCAATTTGATGAAAAACGCTTTGAAGTTTAAACTTGGTGAGTAACGGATGATGCAAGAATTGATGAATGACAAACGGCTTGTTTTTTTAAATATCACAGGCGACTGAATTAATTTGCATTGAGAAACCTCTGAAGATTTTAATACCGACAAAACTATCTCTTGGAGTTTATGGTTTGATAGATGCGAGTGTTGTTTCTATTTAGGTGACTATTGATGACTCAACACTATTGAAGCTATTCTAAGTGCAAAGTGAAAGAACTTGAAAGACCGGAAGGACCACAAGGGCGAACAAGTCAAAGAGAATGGGAGGTTCGTGAAGACTTGGATAAACCAATAAGTAAATAGGTTTGTGGAAGTCTAATTCACACACGTGATCAGGAAAAATCGATGGAGTTTGATAAACACAATAATTGTCAATTGGACCAGTGGGCAGAACCAAGGAAAGTTAATAGAAGCTATGGCTTATATCAAACTGAGAAGATCACTTCTGGACAAGTGACATAATGAAGACCCAGACTTTCTTTGACCGTTATTACACATTCAAAGGAATCTGATAGCCAATCACAAGCCTGAAATTACGGATTATTTTCTGAAGAAAATCCAATCTATTATTCAACATACCATTGGACAAGGATTATTTCCTAACTCGGAGACTCTATTCTTGGAAGCGGCAAGATTGCTGGAATATCTTATTGTATGGGAAATCAAATCTCCGGTGTCTACAATGGCTACATTGATCATTTAACGGTCAACTTGAAGATCAATGACTATAAAAGGGACTAGTGCAAGCCATGTGGATAGCGACAAGCTACGAGAATTACAAGAACACCTCACACACTTTATGATCAATTGATATGCTTGTTGAAAGTTATACGCTGATTGTTAATCTTTTGATAAGTGAACAAGTGTTGTAGTAATGCGTGTATTTTTTGGTAGTGTGATCTACTAGCTTTGAGTAGAAGCAACGCAAGCTATATCAGTAACATCTCAACAACTACCGGTCAATTCCGGCCTTGTTGGTAGCTGTTAGTTTGGAAGAGTGAAATTAGACTTATTCCAAGCCGAACTACTATAAATCTACGTGCATCTATCTCTATCGCATTTACTTGTTATTTCATTTATTTGATAGAAGCATCACACACGTAGTTTTTGCATATATCAAATCTATTCCTGCACATATAAACTTGATTCTACTCAATTCCGCCAAAAGTTGTCAAGTTTTGTTAAATAACCTATTCACCCTTCTAGGTTATATCTTTAGTCACATCAATTTGTTTCTCACCAACCCTATCTTTCATTTGCCAATAAATAGAACCTATAAACTACAATCCAAAAATACACCTTCACAGGAAAATTCTCTCTTCTCCTTCCATTTATTTCATTTCTTTGCTAGGTTGTACAGATAATTTTGTTGTTCTTGTTCCCTCTATTATTCTATACAGAGTAAGAGGAAGGTCTTTTGCATCCTAGGAGGATAATTGCTAGAGCCTATTGCACCGAGTTTCATACTTCAAGAAGCGAAATTATCCTTAAGGACAGTGCTTGCATGCCTTAAATAGTTGATCTCGTTATAAAAACCTCCTATGATATCTCAAAATTGATTTGTCTATATTAATATTTGATAAATGCAATTGTTGTCTTATCTCAGGATGAACTAATACAATGAGGACTCTATTACCATTGATAGAACCTAAAGTATAATGTGAAAGATTGATGATTGCTCGATGAACCCTAATAGAGGTGAAAAAGTTAGTGAACAGGAAGTTCATGGGGGACTTAAAGGCACCATGACAAGGTGAACACTTCAGATAGTCTTGATTATACTTAAGAAAATGAAGTGGAAAGTAGTACATTAGTCAACTACTTGCAGAAAGTCTTGATAGACTCACGCATTATTGATAGAATTAGCTCATTATATAACCTAAGAAGAATGTGTATGTCATATGATTACACCTTATGATTTGAAGACCCAGATAATCGGTTGACTATCAATCTAAGTCCCAAGGATTTTTTACAGCAGGCTTGGAACTCCAAAAAACATATACGAAGTAAATATAATCAACCGTGAATCAAATTTCTAGAAAAGATTATTTCCTTATATAGGCAGATCTATTTGTGAAAACCATATTAGCTAGGAAGATTTGATTTTATAGGGGCCCAGATCTCTCGGTGATTGTGTTGTTCATCTGCTGAAGATTATCCAATGACTAACTTGGATACTGAAAACTATATAAGAACATCAACGCATACCGAAGAACACACAAATTGTGCGAATGACTTAAAACTAAGAAAGCTTGATTCTTTGATGCACTTATACTCTTGTTATTGAGCGAGAAGTTCATTTATAGAGAGTGCTTCATTGATTGTAATTTCTTTTTGAGAAGTGTACGCGCTTTGGATTGATAGTGTGATCTACCAATTTTGGGTAGAAGCAACACGTGCTAAATCGTAACATCTCAAAGAATTACTTGTGGATTCCAGCCTATTGGTGTCTATTAGTTTGGGAGAATGAACATAGGCTTGACTCAAACTGAGCCACTACAAGATCCACGTGCAACATTTTCTATCTCTCTCTACTTATTTCCATATTTATTTTATGGAAACATACTATACTTAATATCATCAGCTTACTCTTGCATATTAAATAGTTTCTGCATATATCAAACTTGATTTTAATAATGCTACGATAGATCCCCCCCCCCCCCCCCCTCCCGGTCTAAATTGCATAGCTTTATGGATTCCCAAACTGAAACTGCCACCACTATTACCATTGCTGTCGCCACCACTGTCACCACAGCTACCATTGATGCATCTGCCGCCGCGCTCCAATCGCACTACCACTACTCACATACTTCCTATGCATAAATATTTCTTGAAATATTAAAAATTGAAGTTTTTAATGGCAATAACTTCAAAAGGCGGCAAGAAAGAGTTTTCTTTATCCTAGATGTACATGGAGTTGCTTTCGCACTTATGGAGGCCAAGCCAACTAATAATAAGTTGCTAGAACAATGGAACATACTAATAAGATATGTAGGCACACAATTATTAGTACACTTTCCAATGAATTTTTTATGTCTACTGTCTATACAAAGAAGCAAGACAAATATGGGACTCCGCGATTGCAAACACTGCCGAAAATGCTAACGGAAGTTTGTGATTGGAAATTATTGTCGGTGGGAAATGTTCGATGATAAGGAGATCAAGACACAAATCAATGAATATCACAAGCTGGTGGAGGAATTGAAGGCAGAAAACATCAATTTACAAGAAGAATTTATTGCGATGTTGCTGATTGAAAAGCTGCCATAATCTTGGAAAAACTACAAGCAACAACTAAAGTATACAGACAAGCAACTGTCACTGGCCAATCTGATCGTGCATATCATCATTAAGGACACAACTTGCAAGGAGATCAAGGCTACCAAAGCTAAGAGATTGCTACCACGGCAAATTTGGTGCAAGGCAGATATCTCAGTATCACCAAAACAGGTATAATAACAAAAAACCTGATAACACAAAGTTGCTCACCCCACCTTCAAAAAGAAAGGCTCTTGCTTTTGTTTGTGGTAAACTAGATCATCATGCATTACAGTATAGAATATGAATAATGTGAAATGACAATCCTACTAAACTAAAAATCAACTTGGTTGAAGCAAATGACTCTGATGACATAATTGTCGTGGTCATTTCCAAAGTCAATATTGCTGCCAATGTGAAAGAATGAACGGTGGACTCAAGTGCTACCAGGACTATATGTGCAAACAAAAATGCATTTTCCTCCTATAATACAGTAGGGAAAAGGGAAGAGATTATTTTTCTTAGTGATTCGAGAATTGCTTAAGTTCTTGGAAAGGAAAAGTTCTTCTCAAACTTACATCTGGCAATACTTTGGCTCTGAATGATGTAGTGCATGTCTCTAATATGGGGTGAACTTGGTTTCTGTAGCTTTGTTGGGAAAGGTTGGGATGAATGTGTCATTTGAATCTGACAAGATTGTAATGGCAAAAAAATTATGTCTTTGTGGTAACGGGTTATTGTACTTAGGACTTTAACATTTGCAATGTTATCAATGAAAATCTACTTCTTCAGCTTACTTGGTTGAATCTATTGGTTTATGGCATGGTAGATTAGGATGTGCTAGTAATTCCCATATTAAAAAATGAAAAAATAAGGTTTAATTTCTGGGATTAAAAACCTATGTTTAATAAATTTATAATATGTGCTGAAACCAAATTGACGAAAAAGCCTTGTATTTCTGTAAAAAGAGAATATGAATTGTTGAGTTTAATTCATCTTGATTTAGGTAATTTAAAACAAACTATGACTGGATGAGGTAAACAATATTATGTGACTTATATAGATGATTATTTTAGATTTACTAAAATTTATTTGCTTAGGCATAAAGATGAAGCTTTTGATATGTTTCTTTGTATATAGCTGAGGTAGAAAATCAATTAATGAAAAATAGAGGAGATGGTGTGGCTCAGTCTGAGTATGCTCAGATTATTAAGAGTCTAATGCATTTAATGAACTACACTCGATCTAATATAGCTTATTTGTGTGTAGACTGAGCAGATATACACAAAATCTCAGTCATGATCATTGAACTGCCTTGAGTAAGGTAACAAAATATCTGACAGGAACTATAAACTATGTCATTTTATATTGTGGATTTCTCACTTTATTTGAAGGATGTAGTGATGCTAACTGATCTTACATTTAGATAAAACAAAATCCACTATTAAATACGTGTTTACCCTTGGTGGAGGTCCTGTAACTTGGCAATCAACCAAATAAATAATAATTGCTAAATTTACCACTGAGTCAGAGTTTGTAGCTCCAGAATTGGCTAGCAATCAAGTTGAGTGGTTAAGAAACTTCTTAGGAGACATTCCTCTAGAAATGAAACCGGCACCTTCTATGTCTATGTATTGTGATTGCCAAGCGGTAATAGCCATTGCAAAGAATATAACTTTCAATGATAAAAATAAACACATCGGGTTGAAACATTATGTGGTAAAATAGCTCCTTAAAGATGGAATTATGTCTATAGATTATGTGAAATCAGAATTGAATTTAGCCGATCCTTTGACTAGATTTTTGGGAAGAAAATTAATTACCGATACATAGAAAGGAATGTGACTTAAGCCAGTTGAGAAAAATCAATAATGATGGCTACCCAACCTATGTGATTGGTTTTTCCAACAAAAGAAAAACCTATGCAATTGGCGTTCATATAAGCAATAACCAATCACTTGTTGATCGAGTGATGCACTATTAAAAATTATTGTCCCTCCTGAGGTGAGAGTAATGTAAAATTACTATAAAAAAAGAGAGTTTGAGTTAAGCTTATAATGAATTCCAAATCCATTAATGGTGGTGTATCAAAGTGCAATATACATTAGATGGAATCACCTATATAAGTGTGGAAAAGGGTCGCTCCTATGAGAATTTTGGTAAAATCTTTAGAGCACTTATTAATAAACCAAGCACATGCGTTAAACAACAATAATTGTGGGCGTGTAATGTAATTGACGAAAATTATAATTCACAAAAAAAAAATTCTTGATTTATAGAAGTTTTAGAGTTCCTCAATAATTCTAAGAATTATATTTCATGCTTTCTAGTTTGGGTCATAGCCTAAAAGGAACTAGTTGTGATGCTTTGCATTCAATTGAGTGAAACCCAGCATAATTCATTCCTTTCTTTTCAAAACCTTATGAAATATGTGGGGGATGGTTGAATATTTCAATAGTTTTGAAAATTTTGAAAGCCATTGTTTTATAACGGTTTTGACAACCATCAATTTGATGACTATCAATTGTTTTGTAAAGGTTTTGACAGACATCAATTTGATGAAAAATGGCTTGATTTTTAAAGTTGGTGAATTGCAGCTATAAATAGATGAAAAATGACAGACAATCCTTTCTTTCTTTTGCCTATAAATAGAACCTCCAAACCACGATCCAAAATTACACCTAAACAAGAAAATTCTCTCTTCTCCTTCCATTTCTTTCATTTATTTGCTGAGTTTTACATATAATTTTGTTGTTCATATCCCTCTATTATTTTGTGCATAGTAAAGAAGAAGGTCAGTTGTATCCTAAGAAAATAGCCGCTTGGGCTTGTTGCACCGAGTTTCACACTCCAAGGGGTAGATTTATCCTTGACCACAGTGCTTACACACCTTTGATCTTATTTTTATCTTCTCCAAATTTTTCCAACAGTAAGTACCCCCTCCTTAATTAATGATTTAAGCTTTTATGAAATCTCGACCATTAGACGTCAACAAAATTGAGGAGGGAAAGAGAAAGCAGGAACAGATAAATCAACAGTAACCTTCCAAAGCATGAGCAAAATGTTAACAGCATAAACCGTAAGAAACATACTCGATGGAAAATATAGCAAAGGCATTCTGGCATGAATCTCAGATTCGCTGCTTCGCCCCAAATAAGAAGATATAGGCTCATGCACAGAAGTCCACGCTGCTGCACCATCTGGCCGGTCATCAGTAACCTGCATATTTGGAACCAAGGTTGCAGATGAAGAAAGGAACTCTTAATCAGGAATTGAGATTAGATGCATATACAATTGGTGCAAATCAAGAATAGAAAAAGATCATTTGATCAATAAAATTCATGACTATGGGAGACGGATAAAATTGTGACAAAGATGATGTTAAAATTAGCACGTCTTCAGGTATAAAAAAAATTATGATAGGGGCTGGTTTCCGCACAATCCATGGAGTCAAAGCAAGTGTAAGGATGCAATAAGATTTTTCTTGTCTGGTCCTGTAACTCGTACTCTTATGTTTTGGTTCTGTCAACTTTACTAAAGCCAATTAATTATGAACCAACTATGATATATTAATTATTTCATACCGTATCAATTCTCTTTTATGTGACTTTTTGGTTTTAGACAACCCACACACTCATCTCAATAAATTACCCCAATCACCTCAACAAAATTGGATCTAAGCCACGAATTTTAATCTCCATGGCCATCAACCAAATTGCAAAGGAGGGGCTTGGACCTTTGCCATTGGTAAAGGTCCAGCGGGGCATCTTTGGTAATCGTCCCGTTTTTTTATTTTTCTGTTCTTTTATTCCTCGGAACAAAAACAAAAACAAAAAATCCATTTGGTAACATCAGTTAATTTTTTTATTCCCCAGAATAGAAAAGTGGTCAGGCAATAGATTTAGAACAGAAACAAGAAGTAAACAAATCTACTTGTTTGTTCCCGGGAACAATTTCTAAAACAAGATCAATTTCTTTTTTTTCTTTTCTTTTTTTTTCCTTCCTTCTTCTTCCTCCTCTATCTGGTCACCAGGCCTCGGTGATGGCCGGTGACCGGCCAAAGAGGAGAGCTGGTGAAGCCAACCTTACCGACCTTGGGCGAGCCTTCCCGTGGTTGGGCGAGGCTCGACCTCCCCCACCCATCGCAATGGCGAGGCCAACCTCGCGGTGGCTGGGTGAGGTCAAGCCTCACTAGGGGCCGGTGAGGCTCGCCCTAGGCCCGACTACTAGCTAGAGAAGGAAGAAGAAGGGAGGAAAAAAAAGAAATGAAAAAAATAAAAAAAAATTCAAAAATTAGAAAAATCACAGAAAATTATTTTAAAAAAATTCCAGGTCAGAAAAATAATTTTAGGGTTGTATCAAATGTTTGTTTGTTTTTTTTCTATTACAAGAATAGAAATTTTATGCAATTACCAAATGCGTTCTTCTTCTCGGAAACTCATCCAGGGAATAGAAATAGAAAAAACTATTTCTGAAAATAAATTGTTTCCTAACCAAAGAATGGAAAAGATTCTTCAAGAGTCTCGGGGCCCAGAAGTGCATGATAAATACCGCCAAAGCCTAATACTGCAGACGAAATTAAGTGAAGTACTCTATATACAAAATAGGCTACTCCTGCTAATAGTTTAGCACATTCTTTGTTGTTACTATGGGGTCCTAAAGCACAAGGAGATTTTACTCGTTGGTGTCAATTAGGCGGTCTGTGGACTTTTGTGGCGAGACAGAAATATTGCCAAACACACCCTAAACGCGTCCAACTTTTATTTCTGTTTTTTGTTTTTCTTAACCAAACAACTTTTAATAATAATTGAAACTATGCTTGAAGACAACTGAAAATAAGATTTCTTTGCCCCTTTTAATATATTTTCTATCGTATTAATTGTGCGCATTTCATCCGCATTTGTTTTCCAACTCTTTCATTCTGTTCTTGTGATAAGTTTCCCCATTAGTGACAGACATTGATTCAAAGCAAAGTTCTTTTCTGATTTTCTTCTTCTGTCCAGATAAGCACCCCAAGAATCCAAAATTGCCACATCAGCAGCACCATGTCCGCATACCCATGCATCAATTTATTGTTAAAATTAGAGTTATCCTTTATTTAAAAGCAAAGAAGTTGGCGGATGAAATCTAAGAAAAAGCGCAACAGGACCAAAGTTGGACTTGTCACCCTTTATTATTGTCTCCCACAAGATAAGTCATAATCTCATCTTTTCCTAGAAGAGAACACCTAACAAGAACAGTCTTCTTTTAAAGGGACGTTGATAGTTCTGAATAACCACCATACTTGCCAGTTAAAGTAGCAGGAGAAGCATTACCGAAGGTGGCTCTTCCTTTTCAAGAAGTCGCACCATTTTTCATAGTTCTTGAAAAGTTTCTCCATCACTTCTGTTAATGCTTGATTGTCCAACTAGCAAGAAGACAAACAAGCATGTCAGCACAGTAAAATTCCCGAAGGCCATAATCAAGATCATGTACATAAATACTATTAGCCAAAACAAAGAGATTAAATGAGTACTTTGTCTAAGAAGGGACAACAAATAAATGTCATTACAATCCATGATTAACGCAGCTTATGCTCAAAGTTACCTATAATAATGGCGAATACTCTGTCTACAAAGGGACAACAGCAGCTCATGCTCAGAGTTAGATATCGACAGGATATAGATTGAAAAAAGTATGTAGAACCAGAGAAAAATAGAAAACTGTATAATCAACAGCCTCATCTAGCTTTACTTGTCATATTAGACTAGATCCTTCATTTCATTACAGCCAATCGTATGCAGCTTATGCTCGAAATCACATATTGATAGGATTGATGCTAAAAAAATGCGGAACAGAATAAGAAAGAAAACATCATCAGCCTCAGCTGGCAGTACTTGTCATATTTGACTGAATCATCAATGAGGTAGAATCGAAAGCATTGCAATTGTTTGTAGAAATAATTACGTTGCCTTCAATATAGCAAGGAAGGAAGAGAAAATGGTAGTCCCAAGGCCAAGCCATGGAAAAAGGAACACCGGATATCTCTCAATGCCAAAGACAGTAGAGATGTCTAAATGGTGCTTGCACTGCTTTCTACTCGACAAGAAGGATTCATCAACCCAGAATCAGACAAAACTTAATCAGATTAATGGGTTTGCTATAGTTCAAAGGTTACCGACATAAGAGAGGCTTGCTCGTTGTTGAAAAATAAATAATTAGAATCAAACGTAACTAGTGACAGTGAAGGCCACAAGAGCTGACTGGGTGGGGTCTCCATTGTGACAGTAGTAAAAAATGGTCTATGAAGTGTAGGTCCTCAAACCAAGCCTACTCAACAAGAGGGTTTCTCACTGAAGGATGGGCAGTTAAATCACTTACTCCTCCAGACGACAAAATAGCAAATACGCATATGATTGAAACCCTCCCAAACCAAAAACAATCCAGCAGAAAGACAGTCGCATACTGTAGTAATTAACTTGCAGAAAGTACAACATAGATGCATCTTCTAGGATGAAAAGTGTGCAAGACACCTCGGATGGCTGGTTGGGTTCTGGAAATAGCCGTATGTGCACATTTGCAAGCAATAAAATCAAGTGTTCCCTTTGGTTTGCCACATTATCCATCTGTAAAGAGACAGTCCAATGAACCAGAATTCGACTGAATAGTTATATGAGCTACAAAATACAACGAGAAATGAAAGAAAACTGATAGCAGAATAAATGGAGGAAGTTGCTCAGTCCACATACCTGAAATCCAAACATTGCCTGAAGCCAATCAAGAATATCTTCATCGTTCTTCTTTTTATGGTCATTTGGCCATGGAAGGTCCCTGGTGTCACGAAGCGCCACCACAGCAGCTTGGATCTACAAAGCAAGAATATTACATCCAGCAATATTATCATGTACTAATAGTAAGGCCATAGCACAACATTTCAATGTATGGAAGGGGATGCAACCTCAGGATATTTCATAATCGCCTGATTTGCTCTATCAGGATCCAGAGGGAGGATGTTGTAAGGAACATAAAAATGCGTTTTTTCTGCTACTTTATCCTGAGCCTCCAAAATCTGTACACACAAAAATGTGAACAGATATTACTCGCAGACATGTTCTATAAAAAATATTAGTCTTTTTAGCAAGTGGAATCGGCTATAGAGCTCATTGCACATGCTGTCAGCAAAGAGAAAATTTAGATAATATGATAAACATCTCATTCCAATCAGCAAACTCTCCCATCAGGCAAGATATCCATCATGTAATAAGTTAAAGAAATGTGCAAAGCTTTACCTCCCGATCATCTTCAATGGATTCCATCATATTGACAGCATTTAACACCTCAGAAAGTACACTAGCAGTTTGGTAAGCCTTGGTAAGCTGCGCACTGCATTTGGGACCATGTTAACTGCTGAAAACTAGAAACACATTATGTAAAGTAACTCTATGAACATACCGATCAGCTTTATCAGCAGCATTTTGCAAAGGTTGAATGTACTCTTTATAATAATGCTCATAAAAACTCTGTATTTCATGCCCATCACTTTTTTCAACCCTTCCCCTTAACGTTGGCTCATTTTCCTGAATATGGATAGAAACATTTCAGAATCTCTTGAGAATAGAAGGTACCCTCAAAAAGACCGATCATCCAATGAAAAAAGAGAAAAGATCAAAAAGAAGTTTAACTCTTAAAACTTAGATACATATATTGTATGATTGACCGGTACATGGAAAAAGTCCTCACTTGTAAGTATCAATATGTATAACACAGTAGACATAAAATGCTAATTAACGGTTATCGTAGAAACAAGCAATCAAACAATAAAATAAACAAAACAAGAAAATAAATCGGACACCGAATTTAAATTGTTTAGACGGTGTGACCTACGTGCATGGGAAGAGCAGCAAATAATTCTACTACAGATCAAACGATACAACAGAGATTACAAGCACTATCGAGTCACTCAAACACTTTCAGTTCTCAAGAATCCCAACTCTAATTACACTCAATTACTCACATATTGTTTAGCCTTCACAATTCCTTATGAAATAATTTATTAATCTCATAAAAGAAGTACACAATCTTACCACAAGATTTATTGACTTCAACACTCTTAGATATAATTCGTGAGCACGGAGAGAGCAGCAAGGAATTTTATTATAGATCAAGCAATACAACAGAAATTACAAGCACCATCGGGTCACTTAAACACTCTCAATTCTCAATGTTTCCCAACTCCAATTACACTCAATAACTCGCACAATGTTTAGCCTTCACAATTCCTAATGAAATATTCTATTAATTTTATAAAAGAATTACACAATCTTACCACAAGATTTATTGGCTTCAACACTCTCGCATGTAATTCGTGAGCGCAAGCTCCTTTTAGGTACTCTTCACAATGAAGACATTCTCATATATGAGCTAGAGTTAGATCCAAAATAGGAAATCTCTTTTTAGGAGTCCTACTTCAATTGGGAAACCATTCAAACTTGGAAACCTCTTCAAATTAGGAATGGATTAAAAAAGTTTCCTTTTCGGGCTCAAACTCAAGACATATTTACAACAATATTCACCCTGACTAGACGTTTGAGCCACTCGCTTTGTTGGAATTTAAACTTTGCTCCTATTCTCCCATAGCCCCTGATGGCTCAATTGCCATAGACATTTTTGAAGTCCACGTCACACTTGAACTTCATTATCGTGAACCTTATTAGAACACCAACTTCACATGCACCTTTAACTGCTCTACATGGATTTTTCGACATAACCTTGTCAACCACAGATAAAGCAAAACCATCACTGCATCCATATCTGTCAGGAGATAGAACACACACTTTGTCAAACTTAGCAGCTACAAAAAAAACGTTGCTCCTATATGATCCACCTTGCTACAAACACCATCGGTATCGATTACTCCGTTAGTACGCACTACCTTGGGAGTTTATGGTTGTAACTCCACCTTAGGTTGAATACACTCCGGATCCATATGAACACTTTCACAATCACTCCTACCTAGAAATACTAGAGACTCCTCGTATATAACTTCTTTACTAATAGCAAGTGACAGTCTTGCTCACCTTCTGCATAGCCTAGAAATATGCACTTTCTTACCCTCCCATTGAGCTTACCATCACTTACTCGAACATAATACGAAGAACCAAATATTCTAATAATAGAATGATCAGCAACATACCTTACCACTCCTTAGGAATCCGACGTCCAGTTGCAGTTGATAAGGATCTATTCACTAGGTAGCTCACCATAGTAAGCACATATGCTAAGAATCTCATAGCCATGGTAGTACTAGAAAGCATTTTATAGGCCGATTCTAGTAATGTTCTACTCATCAACTTTACAACCTGTTGTGGTTCACTGGCTCTAGTATGGTGCTTCATTATGCCTTTCTTCATGCAAAACTCCATCCTACAATCAATCCGCGCATGCTAATTGTCTTACTAGTCTCTTTTTCGATCAAAACTCTCAACTATCCGATTTGATAATAATATCAAATTTATTCCTCAACACAAACACTCCGGTCTTCCTTGAATAGTTGTCCACAATTATTAGCATAAATCTAGCACTTTTCCTCAAAGAAAATCATGATACCCTGCGAACATCCAAGTGAATTAACTCTATAATTTCCATGATTTCTCTGACAATCGTATTGAACTGCACTTTCCGTCATTTTCCTAAGTCACAATAACTGGATATATTCAGTTCCTTGAACACATAACCACACAAAAGATGCCTTTCACTTAAAACTTTCAGACTTTTCTTGCAAATATGCCCCTAACACATATGCCATAAGATATACCAACACCCAGCTAAATCTAAAATACTTAAAGAAAATAATTTCTTCTTCAGTTGTGGAACATGCCTCACTCTAATCAATGTCCTCACAAATATCATTAGCATTCTAATTTTGACATCGGCAACACCTACATCACACTCACCGTTGTTCTCCAATTGCACCTTACCACTATCAATGTATTAATAAGTAGTAAATCAGTTCATGTTTGGTGTAGCGTGAAACGAACAACCAAAATCCATAATTCATCTGTCAAATAGCAAATCCTTAGTGACACACAAGACACAATCAGCACTATTAGAATTACTATAAGCTATTGCAGCAATATCACCATTAGACTCGACTTTAATTCCCTTATCCTTCTTATTCTTCAGCTTAAGGCAATCCCTTTGAAGATGCCTCATTTTGCCACAACTCCAAAAAACGGGAGAAGAATACTAGAAGTGTCAAAAGTTGTGTACGGCACTCACTTTAGTGCCAAAAGTTTGTTTCGGATCACTTAAGTGCCACTTTAAAAAAAAAATAATAATCACTTAAGTGCCAAATCCAATCTGGATTGCTTAAAATTTGACGTGGCAATATTTTATTAATTTCTTGGTCCTACGTGGCTCTCCAGTGCGCCCAGTCAGCATATAACTCATAAACAACATCGTCTACAAGTTGTAAATAGTGATCCTTTGAGTGCCAAATTTTATTTAAAGTGATCACTTCAGTGCTAGTTGTTAAAAAACGATCACTTCAATGCCAGTTGAATTGTGCGACGTCATTTTGGATGTCCACGAGGACTGAATTTTTTAAAAAAATATGTCAAGTCATATTTAAAAATTTAATTATAAATGCCACGTAATCAATTTGGCCAAAATTGGCACTTAAGTGATCGTATTTTCTCCGATTTGGCACTTAAGTGATCATTTTTTTCTCCGATTTGGCACCTAAGTTATCCAAAAAAAAATTTGCACTAAAGTGAGCGCCGTACACAACTTTCGGCATTTCTAGTATGCTTCCCCCTCCAAAAAACTACACCACCAATTCTAAACTGACTACGTGTGTTTAGATTTATACTATTTCTACTAACACATATACTAGTTCTTCATCTTCCTTCACCTACTAAAGTGTAGACACAAGTTCACTAGATTCTCTCCTACAAATATTCTTGCTCAAAATTAAATTGCAAACCCCATCAGACGTCAAGCTTGTTGACCTAGAGGAGTTACTAACAGTAGTAATGGCAAGACTTTAATTATCATACGATAAGGGTAATAGGATCAAAGATTTGTACCGCATCATCAAAGTTAATCTAAACTGAATACAAATTGCCTAACGACCACACTGAATTATTCATATGATCAGCAGCTGACACCCATATGTTCATCTTTAAGTTAAATAGACATTGCATCAAATATACATTGTTAATCGTAGAGAGCTTCTCGTTCATGTCCAACAAGGCCTTAATCAAACATGCAGTTTCTACTCTTTCACGATGTTGAATGCGACATTACGAGCCAACGGCAGTCGAATAACGCCTAACACCTATCTATCCAGCAATTCTCAATCAACTTGCATCACCGACTCTGGGTTCTTCCCAGACAAGGTAAGTTCAAATTTCTCTCTTAGAGATAATCCTCAATCTGCATTTTTCAAAAACTAAAAGCCTTCCCATCAAATTTGTCGATTTTCACTTTTCTTTATTCTGTTGCTATCGATTCGCTTCAACTTAGCCAAGACTGGCTTTGACACCAATTATTGCAAAAACAAGAAATGAAATAATAAAATAGATAGAACACGAAAATAAATCAAACACCAGATTTACGTGATTCGATCGATGTGACCTACATTCACAAAGAGAGCAAGAAAAAATTGCACTATAAATTAAACGGTACACCAAAGATTACAACCGCACTCGAATCACTCAAACATTCTTAATGTTTCCCAACCCCAAATTTCAATCACTTTAATCAGTGTTTTGCCCTTAGAATTCCTCAATATATAATTTCTCTCAATCTTATAAAAGAATTACACAAGCTTACTACAAGATTTTTTTGCTTCAACACTTTTGGATGTAATTCATGAGCTTAAGCTCCTCTGAGATACTCTACACAACGAAGACAATAGAGTTGAATCCAAAATAGGAAATCTCTTTTAGAAATCCTACTCCAACTGGGAAACCACTCAAACTTGGAAACCTCTTCGTATCAGGAAATCTACTTGGATTAAGAAAGTTTTCTTTTTGACTTCAAACTTAAGACATATTTTCAACAAAAGTAATAGAAAGAATCAAATAAGTTCAAGAAATTGTATTCATACTGACAACAATGAGCACGTGTTGTGCCAAAGAGAACAGCGCTTACACAGGGAAAAAAGAGTAATTGCTGCTTTGTAGAAATAATGCTTACCCTTTCAAGACGCTTAAGGAGAGCAGTCGTAAATTGGCATGCACCACGTCCACCAGAAGTGTGCTCCAACCTATGAGCCTTGTCAAAAGCACAAAATCGACCTGTATCATAATAGCCTGCAAAGGTTAGATAAGTGAAGTAATATGATGCATAAAAAAATAGAAGTAATTACCAAATTGAATAATTTATGTAATATTTGACTAGGTCAAAAAGGGACAGTGCCCGAAAAAAAAATAAGGTTGACTGGTCAAAGAAAGAGAAAAAGTAACACTCAGCTCAAGTATAAGGGATCGAGTGCCCATGCAGAAAATGGAAAGGAGAAAAGATAAAAAGAAGAAAGAAGAAGAAAGGGAAAGGAAAAAAAGGAAGGGGCACACGCCATGGAAACCTTGCCAAGTCAAATTTACTTTAATTCGCAATACCCGGTAAGAGTTTAAGCCATTTATTCTTCTAATCGAAGTATTTTTCGAAATTAGAACATAAATTGAAAATTATGTAATTGGAATTGTGAGGTCCGATTCAAGAGTTATTAAGCTGAGAAATTATGGGAAATTGATAGTTTTAGGGTGTTATGGAGCTGTAGAATTTTGTTGAACTTGATTCTAGCTTACAGCTTGCCCGAAAGAATTTTCAAAGTTATGTGCGCGTGATGAACAGTACTCGACTAGCAGCTTTCGGACAGAATTTCATCAGTTCCCAACTAGATTACCAAGTTATGGTTCATCTAGTACTTCGAAAGGACTTTCTTTTGACAATAAGCACGCTCGAATTGGAGTTCAGTAGAGAGAGATATGGCGCAGTAAATTTTGTCGCTGGAGTGGCCGTTTGTTGTGCAAGTGGTCATTCTTCGCATTAGTTGTTTTTTCGCCCTAGTGAGCCGTTGTAGAGGTCTTTTGTCGATCCGTTTGATTCTGAAATAGCATAGTTTAGTCGAGTCGTTAGTTAAAGAAGTGTTTTACTTGGTTTTGACGTCGATCATCGTCTAATTGATAGGATTACGAGATCGTCGGCCTGTATAGTAACGTTGTTAGGTTTTGGGCATTCCCAAGTGAGTGGTGTTATCTCTTCTTCGACTTTGTAAACTCATATTTCAAAAACGATATAGATTTAATACAATATGAGTTATGATAAAAATCTGGATCGAGTATTTACTACCTTTTAGTATTTGTGAATGGGTTGAGAATGGTTTTAGGAAATGTATTGTGAAAAGATATATATGTATTCTTTAGGGAACTGGTTTATGAAATGAGTTCTGAAATGATTTTAGAAATGTTTTACAAAAGTGTTTCTGGCGGATAAGCTATGTTGCGAAAGGTAATTTGTTCGATTTATGATATGTATTTTGGATTATGAGATTAATTATGGATTGGATTTCTAGTATTAAAGGATAATGGTTTGATGCTCAATATGATTGTAAACCTGGTTAGGGATTTCTAGGTATGCATACCGATTTCAGGATATCCTTTCGGGCTGATCCACTTGCTGATAATAGGTGGAGATCTTGCCAAGCGAGAAGGCGTTATGTCATGACTATAGTTGGATATTAAGTAATAGATCGGTCAATGAAACAGACCATTGACGTGTGTTTTAATAGAGATTGATCAATAGACTTGACTTGACAATTGAATTGTCATAGTGGATTAAATGAGTGTTTCTTATTTGTACAAATCTTTGTTGAATTGAAACAACTCATATTTGATTTTATATGTATATTATCTTGGAATTGAAGTATGAGTTTTTGGTATTGCCTTGTATACATGCATAGTAGTTGCTCAATATGCTTACTTGAGATGTTTTACTCAATGACCTATCGTTACTCATATCATTCGTCTTAAATATTTTTCAGGCTCCTCGATTAGCGACAAGTAGGGCAAGAGCACTATCAATGGGGGACTCTTTTTTTTTTTTTGGTGCAAAGGTAGGGAACTTTTGGTAGTAGGATTTTCAAGTATTTGCTTAGCTAGTTGTATTGTTTCTGAGTTGATACTTGTTGAGTTAGCTAAGTTCCAAGTTGTTTAAATCTTTTTTTATGGATGATAGAAATTCTCATATTGTAACCAACCTATTGGTTTATCTTATATATATTTTTTGATAATAGGTTGTTAGTTTCTATTTGAGACTGCATCATTCGAATGGAAGGATGGTCGTGTCATCCCCCATTTTTATTGGTTTCGGTGTGTGACAATTTAAACTAATTAAAATTTATCATACTCTACTTTGAGTTGAATATCTTACGTGGATAATCCACGTGTAACTTTTTTTTGTCCATTGTTCAAACTTACCATATTCTAAGCGAAATCAGCAAATTTTATTAACTTGAATTAATAGAAGGACGACATCGGACATTTTCATATAATCCAAAGATAATTTGAACATGTACTAAATGTTTAGGGACCACGTTGAACAAATTAAAAGTTCAAAGATGACATTATACATTGAGAGACCACGTTACACAAATTAAAAATTGAGGGATGATATTGCACATTGGGCCAAAGTTTAAGAACCCTTTATGTTATTTTCTATATAAAAAAAAATATTTGCACCGCATGTAGAATGACTGTTATCGAAGAGGTCGGAGCTCCTAAACTCTTCAACTCTTATCAAAATTTTGTCTGGGGCCGTAATTAAACTAAGGCCTAACTAAGGCCCATTTTGGGGCCTAAAAGGCATGGCTATGGGCCTTCCATGTGCAAGGCTTGGCCCTCATTCTCGTGCTTGGTCGTGCATGACAGGGGGCATGTCATTCTCAACATCATCCCTCTGCCACTCTTATTCCCAGTCACCTTGATATTTCCCTCATTTAGCGTGGCATGAACCTAGTCATTCTTACAACCAAGTATTATATGTGGAAATAGAAAGAAGTTATTGCTGGACATAAAAAGAAGTGGTTACTGGATATGAAAAGAAGTAATTGTTGATATAAAGAGAAGTGATGGTTGATCATGAAAGTGATGATGGTTGATCATGAAAGGTGGTGATGGTGAGAATAAGGAACATATTCCCTAGAAATTTGTTAATTGGTTGTTTGTAAATAGCACCAAACCATACATTGTTCATCATAATTGTTCAAAATAACAACTTCTTCTTAACTCTCTCTTCTTCTCTTTCCACACACAAGTTTGACAACACATTCAATATGAAATTTCAATAGAAAAAATGAGAAATTGTTGAACTCATTTTTTTGTGAATTTGGTGTATATCCTGGAGGTATATTTATTTTAAATTCGGCAGTAACAGTAGTAGGGAAAAGTAATACCGTAAGGACATTTATCGTCATCACACATCGAAGCATTAAAGAACTATAAACTACTGCTCTATCTTTATCAGGAATCAAATTTCCCCAGCAATCTTTAAATTGTAAAGGATTGCATGGAACTTAAGATTAGGAAACTAATCAAAGGAATGTGAACGTCGGAGATGGCTGAATTTTGGCAAAGGAGATTCAGTGCATGAGTTTTGGTGAGCAGATTTGAGGAAACAAATGCAGGCGTAGACAAAAAAGAAAGAGATTTGTTGGGGGCGTCATTAGCAGGCTAGCCGAGAAAGAAAAGAGGAGAATGAAAAAAAAAAAAAGGAAAAAAATAGAGGTGGAGTTTGGCGTCGAATAGAGGATGGAAAAGAGATGGAGACTAGGGGTGAGCATATAGAACCGCTCAAATCAGGAAGCACCCGAACCAGATCGGTTCTTGGCAGTTCCTGAGGACGCCGATCCGATTCTCGGTTCCATGAAATTAGAATCAGTGATTTTTAGTTAGGTTCCGGTTCCAAGATGGGAACCGGACCACCCGAACCGGATCAATTTATTTATTTATTATTTCTTAAAGAATACTAACAGCACTAGCACTAAACCCTAATTGCCTCTCAGCTATCATGCCTCTTTTTCTCTCGTCTCGCCTCTCATGCCTCGCTCTTTCCCTCTCTTGCCTAAGTTGTCATCAACCTCCTCCATGGCAGCCACCAATCGTGGACGGTTTTCTTGCTCTGTTCACTTCACTTCCTGCTACACTCTTCCTGAGCTGAACTTGCTTCTCTCTCTCTCTCTCTCTCTCTCTCTCTCTCTCTCTCTCTCTCTCTCTCTCTCTCTCTCTCTCTCTCTCTCTCTCTCTCTCTCTCTCTCTCTCTCATGCGCAATGATGTACCTATCGAGCCAGATCAAGGTGTCCTTGTTGCTGATCAAGCAACTGCAGCTGCTCCGATGTCGGCTCACGAGCCCCGCCCAATGCTTCATCACGACCAAGGGGCACCGCCCCACCATCATGCACAAGGGCAGCCTCGACATTTTCCACGATCCCTAGTTCAACAAGGTAATCTCCGATTGAGTTCATTCGACCTCGACGCTAGAGAGCTTGGGTCAAGATGATTGCGGCAAAATAGTTGTTGGTAGAGAATGTGGATTATGTAGAGCTTGGAATCGTTGGAATGTAGTATTGGTGGCGTCTCAATGTTCTGTGTGTTTGTTTCGCCAACGCCGAAGTTGTTTCGACTGTACTTGTTCATGAAGGAATGTTCAGCCAATGATTTCAATCTTGCCCTTTCTCATGGCCCTTTTTCCTTCCTTCGGTTGGTTTTAGTATCATGTTAGGTTTTCTAGTTAGTTTGGATCTTGTTTAACAACGTTTGAAGAACAAGAACTATTGTGAATCCATCGGTTTCATTAGACCACCAGGGATCCAGTCCAGTCTGATCCAGGACCAAGTAGTCCGATTCCCGATTTCAAAAACTAGGAACTGGTCCTTCTGATTAAATTCCCAATTCCTCGGTGGGACCGGATCGGGAATCGATTATCCCTAATGAAGATAGGCATCAGAGACCTAGGGGTCCACCTTTTCGATGTTTGGTCAGAACAGGGAAGTTCCATGCCAGTTTCACGAGAACGGCGAGTACGTGCTCAACTATAATCAAAACGAGTTGAAATTTTGATGAGCCCTTTAAGACACCTAGTTCTTCAACCCCACCAAAGGGGCCAAATATCTGATATTCCAAAGTTCACCTTTCGTGACCGGTTCATGACTGATTTGGTTGTTATATGTCAAAAAAGTCCTAAACATTTTTTGTGCCAATTAAGTCCTAAACATTTTGTCTTTATGTCAATTCAGTTCTTCCGGCTAATTTTGATCGGATTTTGATAACGTGGACGCCGTGCGGCCTACGTGGCATGGCCAGCGCTAACGTGGAGAATTTTTAATGATGTTTTAATATTTGTTTGAATTTTTCTTTTTTTTTCCTCCCTTCCCTCCTTCCTCTAGCCAGTTGCCGGTCCGGCAACCGACCTTTAGTGAGACACGCCGACCACGGGCAAGGCTAGCCCTCGCCAGCGACAGCGAAGGCGAGCCTTGCCTAGCCGCTGGCGAGGTCTGGCCTCGCCCATGGCCGGCGTAGCTTGCCAAAGGCCAACAACCGGTTGGAGGAAGGAGGGAGGGGAGGAAAAAAAAAAAAAAAGAAAAAGAAAAGAAATAAAGAAATAAAAATTCAAAAAAAATATTAAAATATTATTAGAAGTTGTCTACGTCAATACCAGTGACCGGCCAGCTGGTGTCCATATCAGCAAAATCCGGCCAAAATTGGCCGGAAGGACTAAATTAGCATAAAGATAAAAGGTTTAGGACTCAATTAGCACTAATGCAAAATGTTTAGGACTTTTCTGACACTTTTTCCGTTGTTATTCAATCATGTAATTTCTTGTTCTACCTCTCTTATCTTTCGTGTTGTTCGTGTGAATCTACTAATGATCTCTTGTTGTTCTGTCGGAAATCATAGTCTGTTAGCATTATGAAAATCTTTGAAAGCGTAGAGTGATTTGCCGCGGGTTATGAAAGGCAAAGATCGCATAAATGTCGGTTTCCTCTGTCATTGTTTCCCCACGTGGAATTTAGATGATTCTGATATCTCGTTACATTGTTTTTATGTTTCCATTATTTAGATTCAACATTTTCATATTTAAACCATGTCATTTGGTACAAATAAATAAATTTGTTTAGGAGTTTCCTGCATTTAGTTATCATTTTTACTAGTTTTGTCATATAGCATTTAAATTTCATCTTGCATTGTAAGCTTATGTGAATTTCGTTTCTGATTTTGCATCATTAGACTTAAGCTGTCTGTCTTTATACATTTCTAACAGGGTATTGTCCTAGGTGTTACAACAAGAATTTATATTAACTTTCCGGATACTCTTCGGATTGTATTAACATTTGCTTTAATTATATGACTATGGAGAGATTTTTATTGTTTGCGTACTGACCATATAGATTTCCATGTCGAGAAATAAAAATCGAAAAAGATTAATGAATTTAAAACTAGAGGCTCGTAGTAGTAATGCACCCTCCCGCCTTACTCGACTCCTAACCGGCCTAGAATACATTAGCAAAGACTCTAGTGTCATTCGATTAATAATAAATGAGAAACTAAGTTAAGAGGGTTTGGCATAACCCACGCAAAACATAAGCGCCACCTAGATTGTATACACCCGCCTAGCAATCCATTAAACCTTTGAGGTACGTCTCAGAGGGCCACAACACACGTATGTCTAAGCATACTCATCTGCTGTGAAATAAAGAAAACGGATGTTTAGTTCCGCAATAGAGGAACAACCTGGGATCGTATATAGTTACAGAGTTTAGCCCAATAGCTAACAAAGGGGGAGAAAATAGTGCATAGGCCGCACGACAGCGCCCCCGCCACACCCGCCCCCTCCCCCCCCACCACCCCCCGCGCCGCGGCCCTCCATGTCATCATGGCGCCTGCATTCAATGAATGACGCGTGGCGTCACGTGTCATCCGGGTCCAACTTTCTCTCTCCATCGAAGACATATTCATCCTCTCTCTCGTTCTTTATTTCTTTATTTCTAGCCGGTCTATCATCTTCTTCTTATTTCACTCCCTCTCTCTCCTCCGAAGAACGACGAAGACACTCCCTCTCTCTCTTTCTCCAGGACGTCACCACCGCTTCCGGCTCTGCCTCCCCCAAGAGCCCCGCTGGTCGCAGCTGCTGGGTCCCAAGCTCATATCTACCTCTCCGAAGCGAAGGCGTGGAGGGATCTGAGCACCTGTTGGTCGTGGAGGCGAGCGACTTGTGGAGGGCGTCGAGGTTGAGGAGATGGTTGTGGTGGTGGGCTTAATCGCGGGTCTGAATGATAAGGGAAGCATGAGCGGGGTTTGGACGTATGACGTAGAGAAGAACGCGCGCTTGGGCGTGTGATTGCTTTTGTTGGGTCTCTTCAGAGTGGGAAGATGGTGATGACGACTCCGATGGCGAAGCCATTTGCTCTGCAGTGAAGCTCACTGGCTCAGACTGATGAGAGAAAGCGAGGGGGGGGATGGGGGGGCCGGCGGGGAAATGAAGCTGAAGAAGAAGATGATGAACGGAGAAAATATTGGGTACTTCTTATGATTCACCGTGGAAAAATCCCAGTTCTGAAGTCGCGACACGTGTCCAAGGGGACCATCATGTCAGGCTCCACTCGTCGTCCACCTGCCACAAAAAACTCTCTCTCTTCTACAATGCTCTCTCTCCTCTCTCTCCTCTCTTCGCTCTCTTCATTGTGGTTTCTTCTCGGCTATGGCCGTTAGCTCAAGTTCGAGCTCCGCGTCCATGGCCACTGCAAGTTTGGAAATCAAGTATCCGTGGCCACGAGACTCTTGGTCTAACTGCCATAGCTGCAAGCTCGAAGCTCCATCTACATGACTTTTGTGAGCTTGAGCTTGAGCATCCATTGCCACGAGTCGTCGCAGCTCGGGCCGCCATGGCCGCCAGCTTAACATATGGCAGCCATGGTCGAACGGCTGTGCTCGAGCTCGCGCTCTAGGCTTGAACCCGAGCTCTGCAGCTATGGCGACGGCGAGACTCCGGATTGAGTATCCTTGGCCATAAGTCTTTAGATCTAGCGACTATCGACGGGATTCAAAACTAGAGCGACCATGGCCAGCCATGGCCGCGAGCTTGAAGCTCGAACATGCTCACAACCGCGAGCTCAAGCTATATGGCAATGGAGGCCGAGATGTTGGGCTCAAGCTCAAGCTCCATGGCCATGGTGGCGGCAAAAAAGAGAGAAGAAAAGTAAGCACAGAAGAGAAAGGCGAGGAGAAAAAGCATAAGAGAAAGAAATTTTTCTGGCAGGTAGGCCCGTGAGGACACGTGGCGCACAAAGAATGAACTTGTTTTTTGCTGACCTGAAATAACTGGGGTTACCCAAGATTTTCTCGACGAGGCAGGTGTCTTCAGGAGAGAGAAAGTGGTACCCAACTACATGTGGTGCCACGTGTCGTCTGTTGAATGGACCGGTCCCATGGTAAGTGGAGGGACGGCCACGCAATATTTTCTTACAAATGTGATGGCGGAAACTTCATATGCTTGCGGGAACCAATCCAAAAGGGATACTTCCATGGGTTCATGCTTAAAGTGCAACTCAAATTCGCTACAAGTAGAGGTACTAGATATATTAAGATAGCATGTCCTCACGAAATCAGCAGCCTCACGCAAATCAGCCGAAAGAACCAAACACTTGCACAATGACTCGGACGGAAAGCCACAGGAGCTCACATTAATAGTATGTAACAAAACAAGCACAAAATCGGAGACAAAGGAAAACCCCACATGTAAAAATCCAGGAATTATGGGAGCCATTCACCTAGTAGAAAGTATGTCAAACTAAAAATGCCAATACGCTGAAGAAGGAGCGAACGGTACAAAAGTTTAAGAGATATTAAAGTTCAAAGGTAGTATCCACTCACAAAGATAAGCCACTCTAGGGTGGTTGCTCTCGAATTCATTAGCCACACGCAAAATCGGCGCGATCTCCGCCTCCAGCGAAGACGGCACAGCCTCACTGTTGAAGATGGACTCTCCGAGGTTACCAGGTGTCTGAGGCTGCATGTTTTGTCGTTGCGGCAGTAGCAACTGGTCGACCCCTCCTCGCAAGGTCGACATTTTTCTTCTCGGAACCTGAAAATTACCTCTTTTCCAGGAAAATATTCAAGCATAGCCAGGCCAGCCCTAAGGTCTCACGTTTCAGTTTAGTAAACGAAATTTATCAAGGAAACAGAACATATACTCAAGGCCAAGAAAGTAAAGAGGCGAATTATCAACCGCAGAAAGATAATTAGCAGAGAGCAAGCGAGCGAGCCAGTACCAGCTAAGAGGAGAGAACTGGCGATTCCGAAGCTGAACCCCTAATCATGTGAGACGAAGCTAGACACTGAGAGAGAGAGAGAGAGAGAGAGAGAGAGAGATAATGCTTTGAGCTACTCAGAAGAGAAGAAAGTAAGGGTGCGTGCGTGCAAGAAAGTGGCAGAGAGATGGTGTGCGGTGAAAGTGACTCCGCTCAGAGAGTAACGAGATTAAACAAAGACGCTAATAAGACGCCAGGCCTTTCTTTACCGTAATTTTAGCCTGTAGCTCCACCAATTTACCGGGCATGCCACTGAGTAGTGAGCACCGCCATTCTCTTCTTCACCGCAGTTTTCCTTGTTCGACATACTCGCGACTCACGTTAACGGTGGTCCAACCTATTTTACTCGGACGCTTTTTCGTGACATGTGGTATGTGAATAAAATGGTATGTCTCGACAAAATTTGGATTCCCTCTCTGTTGAGTCTTTTCCTTTTTCTGTTTTTTTTTATTTTCAACTTGTTTTTTCCTCCTTGAACAGGGTGCTCATGACGCGACAACCTTAAAAGAATATTAATAATTATGGTTAATATCACGAAAAATCCCGAACTGATATATCTGTAACAAATTTATCCAGAATAATTTTTTTTAATCACAAAAAATGTCAAACTATTACACATGTGACAAATTTATCTCAAACTAATTTATTAACCACTAAAACTCCAAACTCGTACATTTATGACAAATTTACCCTCTATCAAATTGAATTAATACCACAAAAAATCATAAATTGATAAACCTGTGAATAATTGAGGGGTAAAACCCTAAACTGATACCCCGCCAACTGCCATGTGTCTCCAGCTTAGCAATTTGACAGTAAAATTTAATGAAAACTAACGGATGGAAAATTTGTCACATGTGTATCAGTTTGGGGTTTTTGATGATTAAAAAATTAGTTTGGAGTAAATTTGTTACAAGTGTATCAGTTTGAGGTTTTTTATGGTATTAATCCTAATTATTAAGATTAGGGAACAATATTATTTAAAAAAAAAGGACTACGAATTATCACATGGCACGGCACGCAGTACTTTCACTCATTCTTCTACTATAATTTTATTATTGACCAATCTCATGGCAACCATTCCACGAGAGAGAGAGAGATGTAGAGAAGCAAGCGAGGAAAATGGGTGCAAGGAAACAGTTTGAAAATAGTGTCACTGAAAAAAAAAAGACTTCGAATTATCACATTGAGATTGAAAAAAAAATAGCGAGGGTCAGTTCATTATAAAAAAAAATAAGAATTGGATGCTGCTGAAATTTTTTTCTAATGAAGTTATTTTATAGAGAAAAGTATCCAATTTCCCGATTCGATTCGAGTGTGGGTTCAAAAACATTCGACTTATATTTATCATGACCTTCTCGAGATGAACCTTGTGATAAGTTTGATGGATTGCTAGGCAAGCATGTGTATTCCTCTATGCGACATGGCGCATACGTTTTGCACAGACTCTCCCAAGCTATACTGATCGCGTCTTGATTTCTCGTTTATCATTAATTAAATGAGACTAGAGCTGCCACTAATCTATTCTAAGCCATTGGGAGCTGAGTAAGGTGCAAGAAGTTGCCCTTTTTCATTCATGTATATTTTTCATCGGTAATTCGTTCAAAACTTGACCTGATTTTCACTTAATCAAACACATAACTATTCTTCGCCTGCTCGTGTTACCTCCCTTTTCAGTTCTTGCGTATGCTGTGCACAATTTATAGATTTTATTTATTTTGAAATTCTTCCCCCAAACGTAGATTAGTAACCTTAATTCTCACAAAGCTACCACACGGAATCAGAATATTCGCCTGAAGAAAAGATTCCCAAGGATAAGATGAGACTTTCTCGGTGTCTTGTACGAAGTCGGCAATTAATTAATTTGGATCACGATGAGCCAAAACTACGCGACAATGGTGACCAGATCGAGACCCAGAACAAGACCGGTCCAAATTTACTTACATTTATGTCATATTCGTTGGTCCTTATAACTTTGTCCTGCTCTATAGGCCTATGAAGTCCAATTCATAGACTTTCGCAAAAAAATCTCATGTGTTTTCGGGCAGAAGAGTTGGGAAAGAGAAAGCGATGTTGATGGGTTCGATCGAGCCGCGTTTCCTCGAAACCCTGAAGACACGAGGGACGAATTAGAGATTAGGCCAACGGTCGTTAAGTCTTTTCTTTCTGATTTTTTTTATTTACGACTTGTTGTTTTCCTTCTTCTTTAATAGGGCGGTGATCGCGACACGAATATAGAGAAAATTATTTATCAAGGCTATGGAACAATATTAGTTAAAAAAGACTAGGCTAGTAATGTATTAATAAACATATGCACGGCAAATAGTACTTTGACTCAATACTTCTTTTATAATTAGAATAAGTGCATTGAATGTCCTTAAATTTATTATAAAAGTGCAATTAAGACTTAAAACTTATAAAAAGTGCAATCAAATCTCAAAACTTGCCAAATTTATGTAATTAAAGCCTTCCGTTAACTCCGTTCAATTCGACTAACTAAAAAAATGTTAAAGTAGCTCTTTTTTATTATTTTCACTCTTCTACATAGCTTTTTTAAAATTTTCTCTCTCTTACCTGGCATTGGCCTTACTAAAACATGAAATATAAGACTAAAATGACATCGTTTTGACCTACGTCCTATTTTTTTAATTAAAATATTAATTAAGATAGATTAAAAATAAAAGATAATTAAAAACATAAAACAATAAAAAGAAGAAAAAAAAGAGCAAAGTCAGCAGGCCCTCACCGTCGCTGCCCCCCCATCATCGCTAGAAAAGGCCAACGGGGGCTCGACGAGGTCTGGCGAGGGTCGCCAGTATGACATCCGGAATTTTCTACATTTGATAATAATATTTTGGACAATTTTCCAAGGCTATAGTTGCCCGGAATGCGTTGCTTTGAGATTAAATGGATAGGTGTTGATATGTACGTTGATGCTGTTGAGTGACGGTAATTGATTTATCGCCATAGTAGTTGTAGAAAAGGGCCGATATACTCCGAATTTCATATTTGATGATATTCAAGTTTTAAACTAACTTAATTGAGATTTTCCTAGTCACCGATATTGTTCACTAATAATTTCAGTAGGTTCAAAATATTTTTCGGATTTATCAATACTTTAAACGGATACTCATTTCCTTATTTAGGTTCTGATTTACTAGATATTTTGGTTACGTAACAAAATATCTACTTTGGAAACTCTATAATTGAGTCATTGGTTATTTTCTATTTTGCGCAAGCCTTTCTTCATTTTTCCATCAATTATTTTAAGCCACATGTCTTTAACTTGAGACTTTAAGCTTAGCTTAGTAATGATATCATGCATTACATTATGTATTACTACCTTAGCTCATTAATGCCTTGGTGACTCGTTCATTTACTTGGTCAAGAAGCTCTCTCTCAAAATATCTCTCATTTAGTTACTCATATTGGGCCACTTGTAGCTTTTGGGTTGGAACACTAAGTCTTGGTCTTCTAAGTTCATTCCCCTTGGCCGCATCAATTGAAGAAACCATATGATTTTGCCACTTGTGACTTTCTAACTTGAATACATCTCCTGCACCATCCACCTATCACTTTTTTACCCCGAATCATCGTTTCTTTTAACTCGGTTTACTTACTCTTATCTCCTTAGCCCATATATAGAACTTCGTATGTCTTCAAGTTTCCAAAAAAATTTCCAACTTGTTTTGCTAAGAAATAAAATCACCGTCACTTTCCTCTCTTAATATCACTTTCCAATCTTTTGAGTAAAAGCAAAGATCCAACTCTTATTTTGTTAAGCTTTGATATTCCATTTTCAATAATTTATACGGTGAATTACTGAAATTTCCACTACTTTCTACAAACGGGTTTTGTCATTTTAAAGACAAGAATTGTTAATTTTATGTTTATTTTGTTTAAAGGTGACTAAAGTTTTGAGTTATCAAGTCTTTTTCAAGGCAAGTGAAAACTATAGGCGCTAAGTTGGGTTGATCTATTTAATGCTCTTGACTTGGTTGGATGATGTTTATTAAATTAGCTTGAATTTGACGTTAAGTGTGAGTAAGTATCAATAGTGGTGTGTTGAGAAATTGTGATGATTTGACTTGTTTGGATGAGTTCTTTCATGTCTAAAACGTGTTAGGATGCCTTGGAGTTGAGATACCTCATGTGTTAGGATGCCCCGAGAGTATTCGGGAGGAGAAGTAAATAATATAATATATGTATATGTGCATATGTAAATATATATAAGCACACATGTCTATTTATGGACTAATTGGTAATAAGCGTATTTCATAATATGATATGCCATGCACTTGCATTCGAGTGAGTTAATCCAAGGATGCCAACGCAGGACCCGCTCTAGTAGGTGCGTGGTTTGGGGACGAACCAAGCGGAAGCTGGTGGCTTGTAACGACCTGGTGCGATGAGGGCAAGGTGAGATATCCTAAATTCCCATTACCCCTAATGAACATAGTTAAGCACTGATTGATATGAAATTGAAGTGATTTGTGCTATTAAAGTTACGAATTGTTATGGTCACTAAAGTTTTGTGATTTTAGAGAAATTGAGAAATTTATTTTCATATGTTATTTAAATATGTAACATTAATGAGATGATGTTGTGGAACTTGACGCCTAGTTCTCACCATGATCAAAAATTTAGGGTCACATTTAACGCACTAATTCTTATAATTCTCGAAAATTATAGGGTAAACTCCATGAAATTGAACTTGTCTATACTTCTTCAATATAGCAAGATATATATGTGTAAATGA